CTACGTATGTCAAGTCTTATTTAACATTACATATTATTTTCTTCAGAGGCGTTTCCTTACAGATCAAACGTAAATAAAGGCGCACTATAAATTTACTCCTCTCCCTTTCTGAAATTACGTTCAGAAGTTTTAAAATTGCGCCATGAATTTACACTACACCTGATTTTGATCGACTGGTTCTGACTCAAGATTGAATTTTCCAATAGCATCAATACTTCATAAAATAAACGAATAGCGTGTAAAGAATACGGGTAAAATGTAAGTAAAGTAGAAAGAATGGCTGCAGTAAAGTTTCACTGTGTAAATAATAAGAGTAGACTGTAAGATTCTGTTTCACTGTGTAAACAATAAGAGCAAAATGTAATGACCTTATATGGGCATCACGTGCCCGGGGTTACACCACTCACCTTCAGATGGAGTGTCCCGTACATATCACACACGTTCATCATGGGTCCCCTGCAGATCCTGGGGAGCAGCTCACTCTCAAACCTAATACCATGTAGGAAAGCAGCAGCTACGTAACCGTGTATTGCAGAGCACTCTACTCCTTCAGTGTCCGGGTCCGAACACACTTCTGTTATACAGGAGTTGTAGTAGGGTACCCTGAAGTTATTAAGTTAGTTAGTTAATTGGTTAGTTAGTTAGTTAGTTAGTTAGTTAGTTAGTTAGTTAGTTAATTGGTTAGTTAGTTAGTTATTTAGTTAGTTAGTTAGTTAGTTAGTTATTTAGTTAGTTAGTTAGTTAGTTAGTTAGTTAGTTATTTAGTTAGTTAGTTAGTTAGTTAGTTATTTAGTTAGTTAGTTAGTTAGTTAGTTAGTTAGTTAGTTAGTTAGTTAGTTAGTTAGTTAGTTAGTTAGTTAGTTAGTTAGTCAGTCAGTCAGTCAGTCAGTCAGTCAGTCAGTCAGTCAGTCAGTCAGTCAGTCAGTCAGTCAGTCAGTCAGTCAGTCAGTCAGTCAGTCAGTCAGTCAGTCAGTCAGTCAGTCAGTTAGTCAGTTAGTTAGTTAGTTAGTTAATTAGTTAATTAGTTAATTAGTTAATTAGTTAATTAGTTAATTAGTTAATTAGTTAATTAGTTAATTAGTTAATTAGTTAATTAGTTATTGTTTGGTAGCTGCTTAGTAAGTTGTAAGTTATTGTTAGTTACCACTCTGAAATAAGGTATTGTCAGTTTAGTAGGTGCTTTTCATGGCGCAGTTGAGATACAGCTTACCTAAGTGATACCAGTTCACACAGTAAAATATGTTCACATACCTAACACATACCTAACACATGCCTAACTAACTAAGATAGTGAGTAGTAAAGTGTGTGAACGTTTAAAACTGTTGCCACCTGTCCAAGATACGGCTTGGTGCCCGGTGCCGTGTTTACAGAGGATGCCATAAACCTTACAACAACTAAATGGATAATCACATCACACCCATTAGGTGACATTCTTAAACTAGTATCATCTTTAGTGATATTAGTTCAATAACAGCTAATAATATATAGTACTACTACTATCACTGCAGGTGTGTAATGAACATAATCCACAGCACTATTGATAACTACATTAAAGTATTAAAATACTAAAGTAATTAGATAACGCTCATTAGTTATATAATATAACCTGTCTACGAAGGGGTAAGCGTCCACGAAGGGGCCCTGGTGTTCAGAGAGGACTATACAGGCGTGCTGGGCCCGCTCTATATCCACTACCCTACACATTGGTCTATCTGCTGTGGTGCACTCGTCCTGTGAGATATAGGGGAGTCAGGGGTGGCGATTTATAGATCTGCTGGTTTTATCCAGAATATAAACTTGTGTTCGGTGTGTCCAATATATTTTGTAGGTGGCCGTTGTTTCGGTGGGGAAGTTGTGCAAACTCCTCTCAACAAAAGAGACCGATTAGCAACTTAAATATCACGTGCCAAAACGAACGTGTGTCACCTCCTTAAGGGGGGGGGGGGGGGGGGGTTCACCCTAATTTTTTTGTGAAACTTGGTTTCGAGATAGCAGTTGACCAACAAACTAGGACCAGTGACCGAACTTTTGAGGGGGTCTCGGACCCCAACCGCCAAACGGTGCCCGCGGGGCAGCCATGCCCATATTTGGTCCAAATTAGGCCCAATTTAGCCAAATACCCTGAAAATGCCCAAAATCCAGATTTTAGGTGCTCTACTTGTAGTTAGTGGTTCCCTGAACTCGTATATGAATTTTCATCAAGATCGGACAAAAAATGACTGAGTTATGTGCAAAAAACCATATGACCATATTTGGGCATACGCACCAAATTTGATCGATTTTGGCCCATAAATTGGTCAAATTTCAATATTTTTGAATAAAACCAACTTTATATGGAAGGTAAGCCTATACTACACATTATCTATGATTATCAGCTCAGTATCTACCTAATTGTGGATTCTATGTTCAAATAATCGCAAAAAATAAACAAAATTGCCCATATCTCAGTTCGCGATATTTGCAAAACTGACTTCGCTCAAAACAATAGAACTCAATAGGGTTTCAATATGTTTTCATGAATTTTCAAAAATCAACGTAAAATTGTCTCATGACCTTAAGTTTTGGGACAGAATTTTGAGTTAGGCCTTTAAAAAAATTTGGCGGCCAAATTCCAAAATTTGCACTGCTAAATTAGAATTTGGCCGCCAAATTTTTTTAAAGGCCTAACTCAAAATTCTGTCCCAAAACTTAAGGTCATGAGACAATTCTACGTTGATTCTGAAAATTTCATGAAAAAATATTGAAACCCTATTGAGTTCTATTGTTTTGAGCGAAGTCAGTTTGCAAATATCGCAAAACTGAGATATGGGCAATTTTGTTTATTTTTTGCGATTATTTGAACATAGAATCCACAATTAGGTAGATACTGAGCTGATAATCATAGATAATGTGTAGTATAGGCTTACCTTCCACATAAAGTTGGTTTCATTCAAAAATATTGAAATTTGACCAATTTATGGGCCAAAATCGATCAAATTTGGTGCGTATGCCCAAATATGGTCATATGGTTTTTTGCTCATAACTCAGTCATTTTTTGTCCGATCTTGATTAAAATTCATATACGAGTTCAGGGAACCACTAACTACAAGTAGAGCACCTAAAATCTGGATTTTGGGCATGTTCAGGGTATTTGGCTAAATTGGGCCTAATTTGGACCAAATATGGCGTGGCTGCCCCGCGGGCACCGTTTGGCGGTTGTGGTCCGGGACCCCCTCAAAAGTTCGGTCACTGGTCCTTGTTTGTTGGTCAACTGTTATCTCGAAACCAAGTTTCACAAAAAAATCAGGGTGAACCCCCCCCCCCCCCCCCCGTCAAGTCAAGCAAATATATAGATAACATAGCAAATATATAGATAACTACTCACAGTTTCAGATAAGAGTAGTCGTTCGTTGGCAGGAACATGCCACATCTCAAGCGTGCCTCCGCTTCCCTGCAATTCATTAATACGTATGTTAATATTAATGTAAGTAAACGTACAAGTTAAAGTATAAGTTAAGACATAAGTTAATATATAAGTTAAATATAAGTTAATATATATAGCTCTCGATGAGACAAATAATAATAGGTTGTCAATTTTAAGTCGAATCACTTAACAACCATCATATCATAAGCCTGGAGGGGGATTTGTTTAAAACATATAAGTGATACGAAAAGTTTGTTTTAGCAGCATAAGATTCAGCGAGTTACTGCTTGTTCCGAAAGCACACATTTATTGCTAGTTAGGGAACTTCTCCCCCCCCCCCCCCCCACTAATGTCTGTACACACTTCTCCCCTCCCACTAATTATTTACCTCTGCCTCAGAGCCCACTCCACCTGATATAGAAATACAATCTTCCAACTAATTTCTACTAATTTCCAACCTGACATCTTGCATTTCACATTTCCTCTACAGATACCACTTTATACTAGTAACATTGCAATCTCCCCCACTTCTAGTACTTGTAGAACATGAAGCCGTACCTTGACTCTAGCAGTTAAAACGGGTGTGAACTTGACGTGAAGGGTACTGTCAGACCAAATACGCTGACAAGCCGACACATGCGTATTTTAAACTGGGTATTTCTGGTATTTCGGAATATTTTCAATTTCATGGCCAGAGTATCATATTATGCAATCGGATAAGTTTTCATAGAGTATTTTGCAGACTAATGTGACTAATTCTTTGGTTTGATTTGAGGTAAAGGTAGAAAAACAGGATTGTAAGTAAGCTGAATACCGGTAAAAAGTTGGAGGATTGCTGCAAAGAAATGTGCACAATTTGTGGAAGTGAATGGCAGTTGTGAGGATCTTACTCTTTAATTGACTGTTGCTATTGTGCTGATGTAGATACTAATGCACTACATGTCAGGAACTGTCTCTTATATAAAACCTTACTTAATGTGTCCCCCCTCACATTAACCACGGTGATCTTATTCGCTGATTGGTTAATTAATTGGTTAATTACCTGCGGAGGAGTGGTGCACATTCCGCAGATGGCATGTACCAGAGTGTGGGGAATGTGAAGGTCCACATTACCGGAACTATCATAAGTCATTGTTACAGACAGACCGTGCAACTGGATAAACACTTTGAACCCCACCTGGGAGGGAGGCAATTAGTCGATTAGATAATTAGTTAAATATTTAATTAGTTAATTACTAATTAGTTAATCGGTTAATTGTGTTCTTTTAGTTAGAGAAATACATTTTAAATATTTACGTGGTGGTGTTAGCACGTGCAGAACAAAGCTGGTAACCTAAGGCTGATATAGGGTCACGTGATATCGTGGAGCAAATCAGTTCCACCGGGACGATCTACATCTTAGACTACACAGACCAATTACTGATCAATCAGAATACCAATTATTTAATTAAACAAATAATAAGATAAGTAACTTATCTGTTTATGTTAATTAACTTACTTTAGTGATGAAGCTGCCGTCCACGAAGACAACAGGGAACTGTTGTACTCTCTGTTTGTTAACCTCTATCATTAGACCGGGGTACCCGCTAATAGTCAGATCTCTGTACTTCAGGACGAAACTCCTGCTCGACACACTATACACTGTGTGCTGGAAATAGGAGAAGTGTGTTAGAATAATAATAATAATTCTAGGAGAGGTGGGTTAGAAGGAGATGGGTTAGGGTATTCTTAGTTTAAACTGGTCGTTCAACTAATTCAGCTTCAGTAGAATTTATAATTACAGTATTATAGCTGTTTAATATAAGACGCAATGAAACTACCGGACCACGATGTATGGGGACTTGCCAGTTCCCACCCCATGGCAACATTAAAATATATCGACTCTGTTACATCGTTTCCTGTCAATATCAAACTCCGTTACAATTGAACTGGGATCTCGCAATACTTCACTTTAGATCAGTAAAATATGATAAAGTAATGTATAACTAGACTTTAGTAAAAAACTTATATGTGACGTTATCTGTTGGACACTTCAAGTGGCTATTTCACTATGATGCCTTACTGTCAGAACTCAGAACAGAGCAAGTTTTTAATGTTATAGACATTTCCAACACCCTTCAACAGCTATTCCTGTTAAGTGGTAATTACTAGTATAGTGGTATTTATTTAACGGTATGTACACCACGTGATAGGTTATACCCCACTATACCATACTAATAGTTCATGTCTACTACTAACTACAGGGCTGACAGAACGTACATGTTATTTGAACGCAGTCTGTAAAACAGAACATCACGCCTAAACATTAACTCAGTATTGGCTCATCAACATTTTCACTTATTATATAGCTGCTAATACTTGTTGACTAAACTGGATGAGCGGATCTGGGCATAATGTTAAAATTGTAGATGACGATCAGTATTTCATTTGGTCATCCGTCATTTAATGCTAATGTGCCTGTCTTTTTGTTGGGCAGATGACATCTGTGCAGGGATACAGGATCTCAATTTAATTGGATCCTGTGATAAGTGACATAAGATATTGTTGTAGTGACAGGATATTACCGTCAAGGTCCTAATCATGATCACATAAACTAACCTGATCACAAACACCCAATGTTTGATCATAAATGGGGTACATTTTGTAAAAACATCAAAGGCGTGTCGCGATTGTATTCCAAGAACGTTGTTTTTCGTGCCCGTAAGCAGTGATTTAATATGAGCAAATATTCATGGCACCGGAAAAGGGAATGTTTCCATGAAACTGATGATTTGTGAAAATAAATAAATTTCTTAAATGTCCTTAATTCTAAAATCATTTGCACCTTATTACTATTATTATTATATTTCACGCGGTTAAAAATACATCAGACCAGAGTTTTAAATATTTATAAATGTTTTATTTAGTATTCGAGAAAACGCTACAAATCTTAAAATATTATCTTATTTATATTTTAAAATGTGCTACCCGCAAATTCTCACCATCTCAGTACAACTGTTATCCTTTAAGTTCAAACAAACCTGGGCAACGCGAATCATGAAGAAGTCAGGATCCTCCTTGTTGCAGCTCTGAGCTAACACGTGCTCACAAAGGTCCTCCAGTTCATACGTTACTTGGGAGAAGGTTTTAAAGTTGGAGCCACCAGTCAGAGCGCAGCTAGAAAACCCTGCCAGGTCCTGAAGATACGGTTATATTAGTTAGTAGAAGATAATTTTTTAGGAGTGTAATGTAGAGGGTCCATCAATTTTATAAACTTATTAAGGATTCAAATAAAAGTGGTTGGTTTAAATATAGCTTGTATGTAATAATTTTCGGTGCACAGTCTTTACATTTACTCTTGTTAGTCTTTGGCCCTTAACTCTAGTTAAACACCACCCCCGGCCCCTCCCCACCAACCTCGTCCCCCCGGCCCCTACCCACTAACCTCGTCCACCACTCCGTCATGATCGTCATCAATACTATTGTACAGCTCCTCGTCCACATTCAAATCACAGTCCGTTATCTTTTCCGTCTCCTGGTGCTCCGTACTTCTGTACACATTCCTCCGGTCCCAACACGTTCAACTGGGACACGTGATCAGTGTCAGTTATTATTAACTTATTATTTATTTATTTTATTTTATCTGATTAACATTATTTATAATATTATCACCTTGTGATATAATATATAAGCGGGGCTAAGAAGACTGAGACTGTTTGTAGTAGGGTTATTGTACGGTTATTTAATATGTATTACTGGAGCCGGGGTTGTTGTATAATATTTTGATACAGTAATACAGGCAACTGTCAACACACATTTTAACACACTTTGACAGTCGACCTACAAGGATGATTCCCTTGTACAATCCCTCAAGAACAATATTGAGTTAGTAGTAGTAAGGGGTGTGGTGCTAAATATCTTAAACCAGACAAACTTTAAGACTTGATTTTCTGGCAACCGTCGAAATTTTAAAATTTGCGAATTCTACAAAAGTGTCATTTCTGCGATTAATTTATATTTTCGGAGGACTTCGGAAAACTGTCCAGCCGATAAAACACTTTTATTTACTCATATGTTTTTTATTTATTTATAGATACTAGCAAATCTATTTACTTATATAATGGAAATGTTGATTGTTGCTTATCGTTGACAATACTGTGGTCGCATTTGCCTTTTATGTCCAAGGTACAAGTTGACATTCTTAATTCAATTTACTTACAGTTTACACTCAACATGTCATTCTAACGGTATTTAACATTAAATATTATTTAATGAACAAGATTGCAACATACTTGCAAACCACCGCTGTATCCGTAAGAGTCATGTCTATCCCACCCGTATATAGCAATACCAAACTTTATAGTGGGGTTAGTGTGGTGTAGGAAGTGGCTCCCAATAGATACTGGGACTTTACCACCGATCAGGTTGGTATGAGGGACCTCACTCCACTCAACGTCTACTATCTGGGGTTTATTTATTTTTAGATAAACGGGTTCCAATATGTGTAATTTTGTTCGAAAATTGGTTTTATAAATCGGGGTCAAAGAAAGCAATCAAAATAATCGTCTGACTGAATGTACTGAAAATAGTGAAAAGAAGATGAAAAAGTCATCACAAGATCCACACAAACCGGTTTGTCATCTACTCGGAGACCGTCCACCTCAGCCTCCTCCACCACGATGTTGATGTAGTTGGTAAGGCAATTGGTTCCTCCCCGGGGGTAGTCACCAGGTAGGAGTTAGTGAACTGCTCGATTGGAGGTACTATTATCATGAACGGATCTGCTGCCTCCACATTATCCTCGGAACTCCCTGATGTAGGCTCAGATCAAGTAAATGGGATCAGATACAATGTAAATTACCGACTTATCGAGTTCCTCTACATCTTTAACTTTAAAAGTATTATTCATTTACCTGTGCTGAGTTGAAGAAGAAGAGATGGAGAAGAAGTCCTGATCTCATGGTTTGATGTGGTGGTAGCTCGTATTATACATATACCACCCAGGGGTAAAGCTTGACAACCAGGATAGATTATACCGTCATAAAATACCCACGTGTTATCACGACCAGCCACCACCTGGGGGAGATCAGCTCACAGTTAGAAATGTAACAAATCAACTGATATATCACATTTTTTGTATACAATTAAAGGTTTTGAAAATGCATAATTTTTTGAAAGAGCAAAATTCATCCTACCTTTAGCAAGGTCATTCCTTTCGTGTAGCTAACGGTACAACAGCGAAGTGTGTGCCCCACGTGTTAATTGGAGGAACCTTTAAATAATACAACGTTTCATACGAATTACTAGTTTAGTAACTGAGAAGTGTTTATAATGCAGATATTAAAATAACTGCAATTTGTCCATTAAAGAGTTCAGTTAATTTTGGGATAAATCTTTAAAAATGTAAAATATGCAGTGAAATACCTGCTCTATCAAGTGATCGCAATACCGGAAAGGATCGGGCACATAAGCACACTCATGACCTGATATTACTGATATGGCCTTGTCTGACTCGATCAACGAGCCTGTTATATCGCTAACACTTCTGATCGTGTATGATTCAAGCTTGTTCAGCGTGAATGTCAACAGTTTACCGTATTGATGGTAGATTCTTTTGAATCCTTGTCGACCAATCAGTAACCGACCTTTTGGTGTTACTGTCACAGTTGTGTTGTCTTCAGTTGCAATAATCGAGAACACATTCAAATATTGAATACCAATATTTGCAGATGGTTCTGATCCAACAGCAAGATATCTTGTGCCAAGGATGTCAACTGGCAAGCCTAAAAATGCGTCTGTAGTCTTCTCGATTTGATTGAGACCATAAACAGCAATTTCTGAGTCACTTCTAACAAAATTCCTTTGTTTTCTTTGCCATGGCTCATTAATAGTCGTTCGGAAGAGAAACATGAGTCAATAGATTGGGTTCGAGAGTGAAACTTTCGAAATAGCCATCAGCAGTGATGTTAGCAGTTGATAGCTGTCTGCTTGCAATGTAGATGTCGAGTGATCCTGATTTGCGAAATTGCTGAGGAAATCCTATGACAAATTTTCGTCCTCTATGATCTTTCAGTATTTGGTCCTTACCTGAAAACAATAGAAATTAAGTAACAAGAAAAGCAAACAAAGCTACATAAAATTGCTTTTCAAATATCATTACATCAAGACTAATAATAGAAATCTTCTTTATACTTACTTGTACATAGAGTAAAAAGTAAGAGGCTGAAAGCTGCCCAAAGCAGTTCCATTTAACACTACAACTTTTTCACCGATTCATGGTTATAACAATGAATTCTTGTAACATAACTGTAAGGGTAATGCTATTATTATCGATAAAAAGTTCTAAAGCATTTTATCTTGTGTCATCAAAGTTATGCGGAGTTCCGATTTGTAGAAAGATGTTTATCCCATCCCTCAAGTCTTCCCGTTGACAACTCCCTTCTCTCAAAAGTTTATTTCCTGTTACCTTGTGCAAAGAAATCGCCCCATTCATTCAATTTTACATTACTACTTATACTTGTTTAGGGGCAAGGCACACCAAAAGAGGTCGCTACAGGAAAATTGCAATGTTACACAATGTCACTGCAATAACTCAAATTTACAACACATAGTCACATAAAACAAGTTGTCAGTAGTAGAGATATAAAAAAACTATTCAAAATTTTACATTGGTAATGCAATTTTCCAATTCTTCAAGAAAAATTGTAAGGTTAATCAGGCAGTAAATTAGGGTTTTATTGTACATAAATAAATACCACAGAGTCATATAATTCCATGTTGCCATGGGGTGTCAAGTCCCCATTCATCGTAGTCCGATAGTTGCACTGCATCCTGACAGGGCCGTAATTCCGCCACCACCCCCCCCCCCCCCCCCCCCCCCCCAAGATTTTTGACCAAAAAATTAAATTTTCTTTGTAGTTTACTACAAATAATAAACTATAGTTAAAATTGTTGGAAAACTGCAAAGATCACTGATGTCTGATTTTATAGACTGTCGTTATGTGATACACTATACTTTCACCTAGCTATGAGTCTACGCGTACTTCGGCGGTCGTGCGCTACTGCGAGCGAGAGGGCTCTGGATAGAGCAGCACTATACTTAATATATTAATATATCAACAGTACTCACAATAAATAATAATCAATATGTTTTATTTCTTCTAGAAGATGATCGCACAACGAGATACAGTTGACAGTGTAACCATAAAAATACTTAATCAATGGTGTCCAAAAATTTCACGGGTATCTAATCAAAATATAATGACACAAATATTATATTTTGAGTACTCACAATAAATAATAATCAATATGTTTTATTTCTTTTAGAAGGTGATCTCACAACAAGATACAGTTGACAGTGTAACCATAAAAATACTTAATCAATGGTGTCCAATAATTTCACGGGTTTCTACTATATAAAACTGCTTCTATATGCTATACATAAGTGCAAGATAATATCTAATTACTAAAAACTCATAATTCAAATAGACACAAATTTGTCTCCGGCCCTGTACTCCTGAACGGGGCTCCGCTCTTGACGGACGTTACTCGTCTACATTTCTTCGAAGTAGCGCGCCGGGTTAGTCCATTAACAATGGACAAATCCGCTCCAGGCCTCTGCTTCTTAAACATAAGTGTTCCGCCCCACACCTTTGTCATGTGTCTGATAAATATGATAAGTGCAAGATTATTTCTAATTACTAAAAATTCATAATTTGAACTCGAAAAGTCAAAAATTTTGCGAGGGCTTATTTTTTATTTTGTTATCTGTTATTGTAATCGTGAATCAAAACTCTGTTTACCGCAAACTTTGATCTACGTAACATTGTCCTTTCCCCAGATCTGTTGTGTATACAAACGTGCCAACTCATCAAAATTCACGAAAAAACATTTTAAATAATTATATCATAAATGGTAGTCCGTAGTATATAGTCTATTGTTATTGGACTAGCCTGGCGGGCGTTACTTCATAGCACTTGCATCGCGGGCTAACATTTCGAGAAGAAAGCGGCGCGCGCTACTTCGAAGAAATTTAGACGAGTATAACATTGGTCAAGTGCGCGCTACTTCGAAGCACTTGCCTCAGCTCGGGCAGTAATATATCGAAAAGAAAGTTAAGCGGCGCTCGCTACTTGGAAAAGATTTAGACGAGTATCATTTATTTTGTATTAAGCTAAGTTACTTAACACTCAAAGTTAACGGATGATATTCGTAAAATGTTTGTTTCAAATATTAAGACGCTCGACGAGTCCAACTCGGCGCGCGTCTTGGTAGGTTACTAACCTTTAAACTCAAAGCAAAGTTCGAAATATTTCTAAAAGGGCTCCCGGAAATATTGAAACCAATGTGATTTGCACTAAGTTTACGTGTGTCGATCAAAATTAAACAGGAAATCATCGCGTCTATCATTTATACTACTCGCGACTACTTATAATTGTGCGTTTCAAACTACACCAAATGGGCATTATATTTTTATAAATTGTTTTACATATTTTTATTCTGTAAAATGTGCTAAAAATAAAATGGCTTGTTTCATTGATGATTGAAAATTATTGTTTTATTGAGTGCAAAATTAAGCAAGTAATAAACATAATTCATGCGTATTAAATTGGATGTGCTTTCGGTCGAGATATAGCACGCTCCATCCCGATTTATAAAGTTTAAAAGAAGTTACCTTACTCGGGATTATTATGACCGGGATAAAGTGGTGGGTTTAGGGTAATTTCGCCATATTTTTCCCGAACCACATTTTCACCGGTCGTTAATAAACCCGCCTACTCAGCTTTTAGGGTTCCCAAGGGGTATGGGTGCTCATATTTTAATCGTTGTCTTATATTCACTAAAGAAGACTATTGGGACACTTGTTGTAGGTTTTTCGACTTCATTTGGCTAAAATTGCAAAAAATTCACCTTTTTGCCCAATTCTTGTCATATATCCTTATTGTCAAATTTGATTTAAATAGGCCAATTTTTAATTTCTTAGGTATTGACTATCTCTACATAATGAAATAGGACTCAAAGTAAAAGTAACAGTTAAATTAAAACTTGAATTAATTAAAACTGATGAAAGGGATGATCCAGATGAAGATAACGAAGATGATTACAACTTATTGGAAGACTAAACAGCTCTCCCTTTATCTTAATATCGATCTGGTTGTTACGCTTCAAATGTTAAAAATTATTTTCCATCTAGTTTGATTAACCACGAGTCATTATTTCTGTCTACTTTCAACAATTATTGATAATTCGACTTGTTTCACAAGTTTTAGCAATGCGAAAATTTCTAAACTTGCTTATCTCTAATAAGGAAATTTACATCTGAGACAAAATTGTTGAATCTAAAATTGAAAGGTTGGACACCGGTAAAATGGCGACCGGGAAAATGTGGCGGGTTTTGAGCAATTTCGCCATATTTTTCCCGAACCATATTTTAACCGGTCGTTAATAAACCCGTCGTAATAATCCCGAGTAAGGTACCTGGCACAATATTCTTTAAGTTGAACGCTCTTTTCAAAATTCTCGGTGATGAGTGAGAAAATCGAGTAATAGACTTGGCCCGGCGCGCGCTACTTCGTAGCTCTTGCCGTCGTAGCTCTTGCCGTCATAGCTCTTGCCGTCGTAGCTCTTGCCGTCGAGAAGAAAGCGGCGCGCGCTACTTCGAAAAAATTTAGACGAGTGACATCCGTCAAGCAATAGACTAACAAGGTACCTGGATCGGAGGGGTTATTTAAAACATATAAGTGATACAAAGGGAGGACTTACAAGGTAGATAAAAAATAATTTACTACAATGCACGCAATTTAGGAATTGTCTGTTTTGTTGCGATATAAACTGCAACTTATGTTGCTCTAACCAACTACTTTGCCGCTGAATGGTAGGCACTCACTATTGCAAGCGCAAGGGTTCTGGTTAGAGCAACTCATGCATATGATTATAATTAATTGGGCACGTAATAAGTACAATGCAAATTTGGTAAAAATCTTAATATTTCAATTATAATTTCTGATCTGAGTAATTTTCTACTAATCCTCTATATTATTTTGCAGTGTCAATTTTTCCCAGTTTGTAATCCAAAACTTAACTTTTCGTCGTATTCGTTGTGCATTCGTTGTGTATTATTGTTTAGTAGCTTTAATAATTGGATACTCGTAAAATGTTTGTCTCACGTCGTGATTCTCACTTCATTGGTGCAGTTTATATCTGAAAACACACTCCCCAAATTATACGAATTGTAGTAACTTCTTTCAAACTCCATGAATCGAGATCAAATGTTTTGCAATGTATTAAGAATCAATATATGCACTTAAATAAATCACTCTTTTGAAAGAGAATAACAAATTCTTAATTATTTGTTGGAAACCTTTTTGTTTGTTTCACCCATATTTGGCACCCTGGCAGCTTTTTTGCTCCCTAATATGTTATTCCTGCTATGTTGATTTTGTTGTTGATTTAGAAAATCATGTATATTTCTTTGCAATCCTATGTTTATTTTTTATGCAACCTGACGCGAAACTGTGCATAATAGTAATACCAACTCGAAATTCAGTGCAAATAATATACATATTACATATCCGCCGACCGCCGCTAAATTATATCTTCCAATTCCATAAATTAGTGCCTAGTAGGATACGTAAATGGTAAAATTGACGAGTTACTTGATCAGCTCAACGCCAGGCACTATTAATACTTTAATTCAGAATGACATGCAAAATAACTTTGCAAAGTTAGGAACGTGGACGACAACTGTGCGCGTGGGGATTCACCATATACCAAAAAAAACTTGTTTTCTAACCCTTGTCCTTCACTCTTTTGTGCCTCTGGCACATGAGTCATAAATCTATTTTCATAAATCTATTTTGTGGAGTTTAATATTGTACAGTTTAAAGCTTAGACAATAAATTATGACCTAGATTACGCTACTTCTTCCAAAGGAGAGAATTTTGTAAATCAACTAATTCGTTGAAGATCACTGTGCTAATTCTTAAGGAGCCTTGGGTCTGTCCTTAATCAATAAAACGATATATTTTAATCAATTAATGCACTTTATGCAATTTATTACATTCTAAACTACAGTTAAAACAATTGATAAAGAAAGCTTAAGGCGTAGTTGTCAAATAATGTGCTTGTTTTTATTGATGAATTTGGATCCTCCTTAATTCTATAAAATTGGTACTGTACTTGAATGATCATACTAGAATGCACTATAATGTGACAGTTTTACAATTAATAATAGTAAGTGCTGCAATTTACTAATTTTCAAACCTAACAGCAGATGAATACAGTCCACTGGTGATGCTATTATATTTCACACTGTGTGCAGCTTATCTCCAAATATCCCATTGTTCTGGTGAGTTTCCATTTATTTTTCCAACATGAAGACATCATATTATTTCAAGATCAAATTTAATATCTGATCTTAATATGATGATCCTACTTGTTGACAAGCTACTAAAACTACATGTACAATGACTTTGACTACAGTACAATGACTTTGACAAAACTTTCTGTATATATATTATATATATATATAGATATATGAATATAATTGGACCTGTGATTCACAATATATTGCATCTGACAGCACTCAAGTTCCAATTTTGCAATGTGTCACAGGATACGAGCAGATCTCTGGTGATTGCATTGGAGATTCATCCTGTTCTAAACCCATTGACCTAGAAACATATTCACTACAAGTGAAATATGCATCAAATCCAGACCATTATAAGGTTGTTTACTTCTATAACTCAAACGGTAAAAACATTGGACGTGTTGGCTGGGAGCCGACCAGATGGTACATTCATGGGTGTGGGAGCGACGGTTTCTTTAACTTCTTGACAGAAAGACAGACCACTGACAATGAACAGACTTGGACTGTGTCAAAATCCACGACTCACCTGAACATCTATGTGGAGGACGTTCATCTGGCCACCATTGACTTTCAAGCTAACAATTGTCTTGATGATTACGGTGGTAATGTTGTCAGTGCTGTTTCCTTCAAATACTTTGCAACAGCATCTGGATCTTGGCAAGAGAAGCCGATAAGTACGATTCAACTCATTCTGCCTTTATACCAACTTTGACATACAATCTGACTGACCTGTACTTACTCACCATATTTTTTCAAATCTCTGTTAGCACAATTAAGTTATTAATTTGCTTTCAGTAAAACTAACTGGAGCAGAGACTTTCGTTGTAAAAGGTGCCCAAAGCACGGTCACTATCACCTGCACAATAGAAGTAAGTTAAAAACCCAGTTTTGAATAGCAACGTACACCCTGTTATTTCTCTTCTTCCTTCAGAGTCATAGTAAGTACACATTTAATATTGCCATTATTTTCAGGCGAATGTAGATCTTGACAGTAAGAATATAATCTGGGAAATAGGCTCGGGTGAGGACAAAGAAACACGGGACATCAACAACAGTCAAGTTTCCTGGGATGACAGTACTAAAGAAACTAAGTTGACTGTAGATCCAACTCCTACTGAAACCACAAGTTATGTTTGTCAGTACACGGGAGCTGAAACTAACTCCGCTGCAACAGTGCGGGTTCTAGGTACAGTATTATTAACTAGATACTTTTCACTAGAGTAAACATTGCACCAACATTATACATTATACATTATACATAAGGTTATTTCAATAGGCTACCTTGCTATGCTGAATCTGACATTCTCCCCCAGGATTTGAAGTCAGTCCTGGCTCCACCCACATAATTAAAGACAGTACAGGAACATTAACTTGCTCCCTACCCTCGTCAATATACGCCGTGTCAGTTCAATGGTATAAAGATGATCAGGTGACAGGACCTCCTAGAACAGACATTACCACCACACAGCAGGTATTGTTTATAAACAATATATAAACAATTATATAAACAATATATAAATACCTCTCTAGTTGACAATACGGCAATGCACCAGAGTGGAACTTGATAACAAAACAAAAAAATTCTCTGCAAAAATAGCAACATTATTGCTAAACTAATATTTAAACTGATGAACTGAGACTCACTCTTCTTCAACTGATTCCTACAACTCCTAATTCTCCTAATACCTAATACCCTTCTCTCTAGGTATCAGCAAGTGGTACCTACAAGTGTGTAGCTGACTACACAGCTCTGAGTACCTTCTCTGGGGGTAGTGTTACAAGTGACATAGCTACCGTCTCCTTACTAGGTTAGTTCTCTGGGGGTAGTGTTACAAGTGACATAGCTACCGTCTCCTTACTAGGTTAGTTCTCTGGGGGTAGTGTTACAAGTGACATAGCTACCGTCTCCTTACTAGGTTAGTTCTCTGGGGGTACTGTTACAAGTGACATAGCTACCGTCTCCTTACTAGGTTAGTTCTCTGGGGGTACTGTTACAAGTGACATAGCTACCGTCTCCTTACTAGGTTAGTTCTCTGGGGGTACTGTTACAAGTGACATAGCTACCGTCTCCTTACTAGGTTAGTTGTCTGGGGGTACTGTTACAAGTGACATAGCTACCGTCTCCTTACTAGGTTAGTTCTCTGGGGGTACTGTTACTAGTGACATAGCTACCGTCTCCTTACTAGGTTAGTTCTCTGGGGGTACTGTTACAAGTGACATAGCTACCGTCTCCTTACTAGGTTAGTTCTCTGGGGGTACTGTTACAAGTGACATAGCTACCGTCTCCTTACTAGGTTAGTTCTCTGGGGGTACTGTTACAAGTGACATAGCTACCGTCTCCTTACTAGGTTAGTTCTCTGGGGGTACTGTTACAAGTGACATAGCTACCGTCTCCTTACTAGGTTAGTTCTCTGGGGGTACTGTTACAAGTGACATAGCTACCGTCTCCTTACTAGGTTAGTTGTCTGGGGGTACTGTTACAAGTGACATAGCTACCGTCTCCTTACTAGGTTAGTTCTCTGGGGGTACTGTTACTAGTGACATAGCTACCGTCTCCTTACTAGGTTAGTTCTCTGGGGGTACTGTTACAAGTGACATAGCTACCGTCTCCTTACTAGGTTAGTTCTCTGGGGGTAGTGTTACAAGTGACATAGCTACCGTCTCTTTACTAGGTTAGTAGTTTTAGTTGGGACATTAGGTTTAACTTTTGTAATGAGCTTGTTATTCTGAAGTAGGTGTGGGGGTCTCCTTGGTTACCTTGTTAATTCATGTTTATTGGGTTTTTTAAATTTATCTTTTTTTGAAACTTTTTGAATTTCTGTGCACAATATAAGATTTTAATGAATAATAATTCCATTTAATCCTGCTATTCTACTGTATGAGATCAGTCGAGTCTAATAAAATGTACAATCTTTATATTCAAATCTAACTACCTACTCTAAACGAATGAAAGCTGAAGAGAGTAGGCAGATTGGAGTTTTCTTACTTTGCTCGAAATAGATATCAGACTTGATTTTGTTAGACTATATTTAAATAATTTACCCAGACTTGGTTTAACTTTAATCTATCTATAAAGGTCGCAACTCCAATACTGTAATGATACAGCAACCTGGCTATTTAACTGTATTTTAATGTTGTAGTCACTGAAACTACTACAGTAAAGGGTGTGCCCCGCACAATCTACAGTTAATTATCTAATAATCTAACTGCAGCCAAGTTTTAATAATTCAGAGTGGTTATATTTTGGGGTGGAATCTTTAATTCTGTGAACAGTAATATTAAGTGGTTAGGTTCCCTCTTTATATCTTTAATGGAATTCATTAAGTCTGTAAATTTAGTTGATTTTAGGGAGAAAATCTGCACGAAAGTGAGTTAGTTTCAAGTGTTATTTAGTTATGAAACTATTCTGCAGGATTATTACTCTAGAAACGTTAACATAAAATATATTAGCTGGGTTTTCACTTTCTAGTCAGTGATTAATGGTGATAATAATATTAAGTGGTTAGGTTCCCTCTTTATATCTTTAATGGAATTCATTAAGTCTGTAAATTTAGTTGATTTTAGGGAGAAAATCTGCACGAAAGTGAGTTAGTTTCAAGTGTTATTTAGTTATGAAACTATTCTGCAGGATTATTACTCTAGAAACGTTAACATAAAATATATTAGCTGGGTTTTCACTTTCTAGTCAGTGATTAATGGTGATAATACTACTAATATGTAAGATATATGCTGTATAATTATCATGTAAAATATCCAGATAATCTAAATTCAATGTGGCTAGTAAATAGACCAAAATGATAAAACCAATCTAATTTAAAACCAACGCCCTTCCCCTTAGAGTTCGTGTCAGTATCGGACGCTGTGACGCTCCTACAAGGACAGACAACCACCCTTTCCTGTACGATACCAAATACTCCGTACAGTGTGAAGGTCAACTGGTACAGAACATCAGATGATACCATGGTTAAGGAGTACCAGAGTGATCATGCTAACGCTCAATACACCAGCACATACCAGGTTAGCACATACCAGGTTAGCACTTTAGCACATACCAGGTTAGCACATACCAGGTTAGCACATACCAGGTTAGCACATACCAGGTTAGCACATACCAGGTTAGCACATACCAGGGTAGCACATACCAGGTTAGCACATACCAGGTTAGCACATACCAAGTTAGCACATACCAGGGTAGCACATACCAGGTTAGTACATACCAGGTTAGCACATACCAGGTTAGGACATACCAGGTTAGCACATACCAGGTTAGCACATACCAGGGTAGCACATACCAGGTTAGCACATACCAGGTTAGCACATACCAGGTTAGCACATACCAGGTTAGCACATACCAGGTTAGCACATACCAGGTTAGCACATACCAGGTTAGCACATATCAGGTTAGCGCATACCAGGTTAATTACTTGTTGTTTCTAGGGCACTCAGCTGTTACACATGTTTATAATGTGGTTTATAAGGTGGTTTATAATGTGGTTTATAATGTGGTTTATAATGTGGTTGATGTCACTAAAAATACAACCTTCTTGTAACGAGTTGAAGGTGGGTTCTAGAAACATGCGGGTATTTAAGTTGCACTCTGAAGGAGATCTTGTCCACAACAAGTTCTATGTTCTTGTGGTAGCTATCTTAGTAGCTACCACCATTTAGTAGATACCAGCTATAGTATGCAAGCTATTTCTCGTAGGACTCTTTATAATGATATGCTTGGTAAATGGTAATGCATATTGCATACTATATTTCTAATCCCTCTACTCGTATATATCTGCTATATTGTTATTAAAGTTCTAAACAGTCCCCCTGCTATTACAGGCAAGTGAAGGTGGAGGTTACTATTGTAAAGCTATCTACACAGCTAAAGACCAGTTTAAAGGAGGCGAACTAAAGTCTCCCACCATCACCCTCACTGTTATAGGTTAGTCTTTCAGTCATTTTCAGTCATTTTCAGTCATTTTTAGTCATTTTTAATAGTTTTCAGAAAACGAACCGTATAAAACTTAGAGGAGAATGTTTTACTAAATTTAACATGTTTTTGATGTGTGACGTCACGTACTTGCTAAGTATTGGTAAATGCAAGGTAATAACACTTTATGTATAACGTTGTATAAGGTAAATAATAACACCGCTGTAAGGTAGAAAAACCAGCTGTTTCGTAATTAAAAACAGTTTGATACCCCTACATTACAAGAACTACTCCCTACCCAATATCTCTTACTTCAGATTACACGATTAACCCGCTCAGCTCGGATGTGGGCGTAGGTAAACGTTACACTTTAACCTGCAAACTAGGACAGGCTGACTTCACCGCTAAATGGTCCTGGTTCAAGGACGATGCGGAGATCACTGCTACCACTGCTGATATCAAGGCTAAACAGGAGAACATTCTTATTTATACGGTACGTGATTTTAATATGATGTACTTGACTTTAATAAGCAATAAGCAAGTTTAGGGGAGAACCCAACTTTACTTATGTTTAAATGTTAAAACGTCCCACGTGTTTATTTTGGGTTGTTAAGCTTCTTTAGTGTGTAAATGTTGTGTAATTGTGTCAATAGCGCCGACTCCTAGAGTATCATGTCAGTAATATCAGTGATACATTAGAGATATTAGTGATAATAGTGTAACACTTGAAATCACTGTAATTTTAGTGTTAAAATTAAGTTCAGTTGCTCCTTTTTCCAAGTTTGACAATTGTAATCTTAATGACTCATAACCTCTCTGAGTATGTAAGGTTTCTTACTTCCAGCTGTAATTTGAGAAATTAATTAAACAAGCGATTTAAATGTGACATTTAGACATTTATTACCCATACTTACTTTGAACTCTTAATCTCCACTGTAAATTAATTTAATAATTAACTTAACAAACTCTACGTATAAGTTAACACTAACTCCCCTGCCTTCAGTTGGACGGTAGTAAACAGTCAGGAGGGGAGTATTTCTGTAGAGCAGAGTACGACACACAAACAGGACTACAGGCTGGTTCTATTGATAGTACCAAGGCAACTGTAACCATAGCAGGTAAAATAACTAGTAACTAATTGGGTAGAAACAACCTTAACCTAGTAAAGTAGTAACCTTGTTGGTAACCTAGTAACCTTGTAACCTAGTAACGTAACCTTGTTGGTAACCTTGTTGCCTGCACAAGAGCAATTCTAACTAATGCAGATCCACATTTTTGTGAACAAACTAATATGAATCCTATCTGCACACTATATTATCTACACACTAAACTTTTCTCAAGACATGACTTACTTAGTGAGTTAGTGATAGATCTAATGATATTCTCTTCAAAGAGATTAAATAACGTTGTCTAATGGTTGGTATGTCTTTGTGTGCTTTTGGTAAAATCGAGCTGTGATCTATTTCCCTCGCTTCAATCTAAACTAAATATAATAGTCTATACTGGCTACGTAATCTCTTATAATAGTATATAGCCAATAATTTGGATGTGAGTAGCAAGTGACCCACCTATGTGACCTATGTCAAGTGACTCGCTATTAATCGAATGTCGTTTAAGTACAGCCAGCTGGACAGTTCAATTGTCATGATTTCATTGTAATTTATCAACATATTAGTTTATAGAATGTAGTCACTGATAAATGAAGTGAAGGTGTCACATCTGCTCAGGCGTGATGATGTAGAATATTGAAAGGGAATTTAGAATGTTCACTGGGATAAATTATCTCAGCTTCACTTTACTAGCAGCTTATTTCCTGTGTTAAACTAACTCCCCCCCCCCCCATTCCCCCGATCCCCCCCCCCCATTCCCCCTAACTAACACCCCCTAACTAACACCCCCTAACTAACACCCCCTAACTAACACCCCCTAACTAACACCCCCTAACTAACACCCCCTAACTAACACCCCCTAACTACCTGACAACCCCCCAAACTACCTAACTAACACCCCGGCCCCCTAACTAACACCCCGACCCCCTAACTAACACCTCCCCCTAAATAACACCCCATCCCCAGATGTAACAGTAAAGAGTGTTGTGGTAGAGAAAGGCAAGCCAGCCTTGATAAAGTGCGATATTACTGGAGCAGCTCAAGACCCTGAGGTTATGAGGTTTACTATGGACGGGGCTGATATTACTCAGGAGGAGGCGTTGGGGAACTTCCAGGACGGTGCCAAGGTTCGTAAATTAGTTAATTATTTGATTAGTTAATGAGATGACTAGTCAATTGCAACCTCCCGTTATGAATCCCAAGATTAGAATTGTGTTTATGAATTAATACTTATATAATATTATTATTATATGATTATCATACAGTTAGTAACTTAATGAATTACTTAATTAACTCCCCTGTTCCCAGAGTATGTCAGTACAAATACCGGACATACAATCAGACAAGACTTACTCCTGTGAAGTTGGGTGGAACTCCCTTAATTACAACTACCCTCTCACTGTCGACATGATAGGTAATTAATTTGTAAATCGGTTAATTAGTTTACATTCAATATTTTAATTTAACTAAATAGTTGCTTTTATTTTGTTTAAGGAACTCGATGGACTCCTCTGCAACAGTAAACGTTTTGAGGGACCACAATTAACGTTTTTTGCTTGAATCATTCGGATGAAAACAACATCTTCATTAACAATAAATCAGTTCTATCAATATTTGGGGTCTAATTAATCACTTTGAAACAAGTTGTAATGACAGTCTCTAGTAGAACTACAGGTGTGTCCTGCACCTAGCAAACGTAACCAGTAGCGGACCAGGAGACGGTGTACTCCAGTAAAGTAGCGTAGCTGCTAGCAACCCCGTACATTACGTACTGGAACCCTTCTGCTGTTATATTCGCTAACGTGTCCTGAAATTAAAAGTCATTATTTGTTCATTGAGTGATCAATTAATATAAAATCATTAAAAGGAAAATTTGAGTAGAGTTCTTAAAGTTCTTAGAGTTCTTAGAGTCCTTAGAGTCCTTACAGTTCAGTTGACTCGCAATACAAGTAGTTTTGTAAGATGAGAACTTAGTACAAGAAGTCTCATGACCCAACAAGTACTTTTAGTAGAAGTTACAACAGTTAAATTAATGTTAGCACTTAGTATACTGTGCTTAGCAAAGTCTTCAGTGTAAAGTAGTGTTAGCCAACTCCTCAGTTCTGTGTTTATCATAATTTGGTCACGTGATTCTGAGAGGTCACGTGACCTTTAGATTGAGGGTAGCTGTGTTAAAATGTGGTGGTATTTAGTAGCTGGCACTCAGCTCTCTGCAATGAATCTTAGAATTAGCTAGGCAAGATGCCCCCCCCCCTTTCTCTTTAATACATATTATGTGAACCCTAGCTAGAAATATTGAATACTATTACTATTACTAATGAACAGGAAGTCAATACTTTGACCTTGATTCTTGAACTACCTTGTACAAAGAGGCCTTGTATTCCTAGGAACTCATTAATACTAAAGTAACATGTTGAGTAGTGCACTCCCCAGTCTCTCCCCCCCCCCCCTTCCCTCAGCGTATTCCCTCTAACTCTCTCTACCCCGTGCAAATGTAATGTAGAATATGGAGTTATGGTACTATGGTAAGTTACGATTCATCATGATCTATATTCTATGTGTTAAAAAATATTGAAATTCATTCAACTTGAAATTTGATTATATTACTTAGTAATGTGATGGTAAATTTCTTAACTTCGAGAAAGAACCACAGACACGTCTTGATCGATTAGAAATCCAAAACTTAACAATCAATACGGAACCCGAAATTCGAAGTTCGAAGTAACAAGTTTGATGTAAAATTACCTTCAATTCGGAACCCGAAATTCGAAAATCGACTGACTAATTGTTAGCGTACCTGGTAGTTGAAAGCAGGGATAAGATGTTTAGTAACAGTCTTAGCTAGGATAATAGGGGATGATGAGAACTGACATTTACTGATGTCTATATTCAGTACTGATCCCTTCTCGATGTGACTCCACACTTTCTCAGAACTGCAATAGTAAAGATTATAGACACGAATATAGACACGAATATAGACACGAATATAGACACGAATATAGACACGAATATAGACACGAATATAGACACGAATATAGACACGAATATAGACACGAATATAGACACGAATATAGACACGAATATTGACACGAATATAGACACGAATATTGACACGAATATAGACACGAATATAGACACGAATATAGACACGAATATTGACACGAATATTGACACGAATATAGACACGAATATAGACACGAATATAGACACGAATTCCCATAAATCCAGATCCAAACCCTTATTACGAAACATCTGGGGGTAACTGCTCCCGACCATTTAGATAATAAAAAAATTTAGATAATAAAACAAAAAGAAACATCAATAACCAATTACAGTAAAACCCCGATTTACCGCGGACTTTTGGGAAAAGAAAACCTCTGCGGTAAATCGGGGTTTTGGTTAACTCACGTTCCCGTGGTGGTACCATAACACACCCTAGCGCACGGCTCCACACCTTGCTCTGAACCATAAGACACTATCCTGACATCTATAGCTGAACTGAGTGTTGTGAGACAGGCTAGCAACACTGCTACCTTCATTATAGCAAGTTATAGCAAGTAGTTAGGGTAGCTGTAGAGGAGTATAATAATACAGTAGAGCTGGTGGAGTGAGAGAGTGGGAAATGGTAGTTTTATTATAGCTGGATAGTAGATCTGACAAGTTTTATTTAGACAATGTTGTCAGATCGAAGGATTAACAGATGGTTTATAATAAACTTAATTATTATTAGTTGTTACTTTTAACAACTTTATTATATAGCAGAACAAAGCCTACTCTCTCTCTCTCTCTTGTGAGAACTTGTTAACTGACAAAGTAGAATTCTTTATATTCTTTTATCGGAACTGATGAGAGATTGAGTGGGTGTTATTACAATCTTATTGAATAAAGAGAAAAGTGAGAAAAGAGTGAGTAGTGACCAAGACGGGCGTGTTTGAGCTTGGTTTTGTCACGTAATTCCAACAGTCCAACACTTCATAATGTATTATAATATGTTTTATTAGACCGGTATTACGAAAGCTGCTAAAAGTTGAGCAGGAAACGCCTCAACCAAGCTGTTAACTCTAAGTAAGATTTGAGTTGTATAATAATATCCTGTGTCTCACTGGTAACCGTCCAAATTTCCGGTTGCTGTATTTCTAACAGGTTTTGGTAAGGAGTCAACTCACTTATCACTGTACCACATAGCAACACTTTCGTCACTGAGTTACATACTCAAAATGTAGAGTTACATCATTACTCGGTAGTTTAATACAATGTAGACACTACAATGTATACTCTACAATGTAGACACTACAATGTAGAGCCTACATGTCATTGTGACGTTTTGATCGTTTTTTGAAAGCTTCAAGAGTAATCTAAAATTTCCCCACAAATTTGTTACTCGCCAATAATCATGACACCTGTAGGAGACATTTTTTAGAAAAAGTATCGATATTTTAGACACAATATTCCAAAGTGGTGAAGACATCTATAAAACCTTACTGCAGACCAAAAGATGGTCTGTAAATGACCATCTAGACGCGGTGTCCCACACTAGACGCGGTGTCCCACACTAGACGCGGTGTCCCACACTAGACGCGGTGTCCCACACTAGACGCGGTGTCCCACACTAGACGCGGTGTCCCACACTAGACGCGGTGTCCCACACTAGACGCGGTGTCCCACACTAGACGCGGTGTCCCACACTAGACGCGGTGTCCCACACTAGACGCGGTGTCCCACACTAGACGCGGTGTCCCACACTAGACGCGGTGTCCCACACTAGACGCGGTGTCCCACACTAGACGCGGTGTCCCACACTAGACGCGGTGTCCCACACTAGACGCGGTGTCCCACACTAGACTAGACGCGGTGTTCCACACTAGACGCGGTGTCCCACACTGCTAGAGAGTAGAGACCTTCATTAGACTATGTGTAATGATCTAATGGTACAAGGTCCTCTCTGTCGACAAGTTTGAGACCTTGCTTTGTCAGTTCAAGCCAATGCCCTGGCTAACTCTACAGCGTGCATGTGTTACGTAATATTACCTAACTTAATATGAAGTTGTATTATGTATTTTATTAATAACCCGTAGTCTAGCATTGTTCACTTACGTGCTTGGCACTGGACACAGACTCTATGTGGTTGTCCAGGCTTACACTTGCAAACGTGTAGATAAAAAGAGAAATAGTTTGGCACCTCTCTGCCAATACTGGTATTAGTTCATCTACCATTTATAGAAACTGCTATATTGTAGCAGCAAAAGGAATTTGGATCGCTTGATGATGTCTGAAAAATGTTGGGAATTTAAATAAAGGTTTGGGAATCCTCTTGAAGAATAATGCAAGTTAAGACTTGGTAACAGACAGTGGTGCTGCAATCTGTAGAGACTAGTTTACTGACGCTTCACATAAGTTTATATCTCGAATTATGACTAAGTCCGTTATTTAGACACGACGGAATTTTAACTTAACCTTGGTTACTTCTGCATCAATTAAATCATTAATGAAAATTAAGTTAACTTTAATACAGTTTACCTGGCCCGCTTAGATAGCTCACTATCAGTGTAAGCTACTAAAGTTAAATCAACCATTACGTAATACTCATCTCTATTATTAGAGTATTATATACTTTAGATATTTTATCAGCCAAACTGCAGGCTGAAAAAGGTTTAAAATATTCGGAATGGATTCCTATCATTTGTTTTGTCAATTTAACTAAAGGAACTAATTCTTGACATTTCAAAGATAATAAGACTAATGATCAATGCTGAAATATAGTTTGCAATCTTGGGCCAACATAGCATACCTGTGCTTCATTTGTTAATGTTCTAAAACATCCTATTCAAACATTGGGAACATTCATCATTTAAATGGATATCGATAGGTTCAACGTTATGAACTACTACCTGATAAATAGCTCACAATAGTGACTTTAATATAAGCGAAATACTAAATAAGCATTGATAGAAAGATAGCCGCTAGGCATAAACATATAATAATAATCCCATCTAAACTGTGATATTCCCAGAACTGAAGACAGAACCGGAAGTGAACGGTGTTCTTGGACAGACTACGACCCTCACATGTACCATCTCTGATACACAATCTGCTCCTAACTCCAAATACTGGATATTCAACAGTGAGTTTTACTTTATTTTATAATGTGTAACTCTTTGAATGTACCTAAAAATACTAAATAGCGATTATATTTTGTTCCTTTATCGGAAGGTTTGACATTACGCACTTTCAAAAGGAAAAAGCGAGCTTAACCGCGCGGAACAAGGAAATGAATTTAACGTAACCCGATATTATAGGACCCCTCAACCTCTTCCACAGTCCCCTCAACCTCTTCCTCAGACCCCTCAACCTCTTCCTCAGACCCCTCACTTCCCCCTAACTCACTACTTCCCTCAGGCAATGAGAACATCATGTCGGAGACGGCAGACTACCTGCCCACAGTAGTGACGGACGGTACCACCCTTACTTCCACCCTCACTATAAAGTCAGTGTCAGTAGGAGGGGACTTTACTTGTATCTTTGTGTACCAGACTGACGGAGTGGATTTGGAGGTCTCAGCTTCTACTACTCTCAAAGTTACAAGTGAGTATTGTCAAGTTTATTCCAGAATGTACTGGGAAAAGTAGCGAAGTTGTGACGTTCGACTAGATTAATACCGGAAATTTGCTTCTCGTGTGAATTGTGTGATTCCATTCCTGGAATCTGGAATTTCCGGACAATTTTAGATTTGTGTGGAATTATCAAACTTGAGCGAGGAGTTTTAAAAAAAGCTCCTTTATAAATAAGACCTCTACTCAGCTGGAAGTTATCATTGAGTAACAAGATCATATTGTGTGATGTATAGAAATTGGAGTTTCATTTTCATCAGCCGTGTTAGGCTTGTATAGTAAAAGCTTTTTTATTGTGTATAATAACATGACCCCTTTTATCCTATGGTTCTGGTGAATTCTTTGCGGGTATATACGCGTGTGTTAGTGTGTCGTATATTGCTGAAAAGTTGAGCCGATGAGTGTGGACATGTTAGAGGTTGAAGGAAGCAAGAAAACTGAGTTTACGACCTGAGGTATACAACAGCTGTATAAGTTTGGCAGGCATTATTACAAGTCAAATTACCGGTACACGTGCGAGTAAGATATGTGACTCGTGCCATTAAATGGAAATGATATACTGTGTAGCAAAACTTATTTTTCGTCTATCTCGGCTCTAGGCTCTACTTGTTAGTTTTTAGAGGAATCATCAGGACTAAAATAGAACAGTTGTGTCAGGTCCCCCGGCCCGTGTGAGCACTGAATATGCACTTCTAAGTATGTAGTATGTACACAATTCCACGGGAAGTCCCCCCCTCTTTCTCTCTCTCTCTCTCTCTCTCTCTCTCTCTCTCTCTCTCTCTCTCTCTCTCTCTCTCTCTCTCTCTCTCTCTCTCTCTCTCTCTCTCTCTCTCTCTCTCTCCCTCTCTCTCTCTCTCCCTCTCTCTCTCTCTCTCTCTGTCTTCTCACTGTGTCTTCTCACTTCTCAGTGTACACAAAGGAAGAGTGTTACTGAAGGCTCTCTGTACCTGTAGTAGCAGCTAGTAGTCTCTAGTAGCTATTGTGTAGCGGATGTGAGAGGTGCTGCTCCAAGGTGCTAAGCCAGAGTAATGTTAACAATGCTAACAGTGCTAACAAGGCTAACAAGGCTAGCAATGTAACCACTGTACTACTAACGGTAGATAGATTGGGGATTTATTTTTAGATACATACCCAATCTATATACCGTTAGTAGTACATAACAGTGGTTACATTGTTTAAAAACCAAATTTTAGGAATGGAACAGCATTTCAGGGCTATCAGGTCCTAAATCCATTATCTTTACCATGCTCAGTGCTTACATGGTAAGACAATTTGGTTTAGTTGCTCTCTAAACCATAACCATAACCAAAACCAAAACCAAAACCAAAACCAAAACCAAAAACTAATTCAACTTAACAAGCATATATGGACCATGTTACGACGAAAATTACTTACGATTTAAACCCAAAAGCAAAACCTCGCTCCCGGAATAAAGGTATTATAACGAATTCCCTCTCAGATATAGAGATAAAAGGAGGAGGAGCACTGCAGAACCATCCTGGTATATCAACTGTCACGTGTAAACTGGTAACAGCGGATACGGAACCTACTAGAGTCTATTGGAAGGTATACGATTTCTTGGGAGTTATTTTAACAGTTTCACAACTTTAAAGATAAGAGAATGTTTCAAATTGAATGATCTTTTTCGTCGTTGAAAATCATCTAAATTTAGGCAGCTGTTTCCAAATTCCAGCTTACTGATTTAAGATTTTACTCCACTAGTAGTCTCACCTTACACACTAGTAGTCTCACAACTACACAACTAGATAACACCACCTCCCATTTCAGTACAACTCAAACGAGATCACAGAAAACGTCACCTCCACTGGTTTCATAGCCGGCAGCAAGACCACAGAGCTCCGCTACTGGGGGGTAGACAGTGACAGTGACTTCTTTTGTAACTGGGTCTGGGACGGGGAACCGGAAGTGGTTATGAGGGTTCCTGTTGAAGTCGGAGGTTAGTCACACTATGTGTCACACTATGTGTCACACTATGTGTCACACTATGTGTCACACTATGTGTCACACTATGTGTCACACTATGTGTCACTCTATGTGTCACACTGGCTATCTGCCATGTTAAGATTTAGTTTGACAGCTGGCCAACTTTTCATTTTGTTGCATTAAGCTTGGTTGAATCCGAGTGACGCCATTTTGTTGAATTGATTTGGCCCTCAGCACAGTTTTATTTGGGCTATTTGTTTTCCTCTCGCACTATTTCGAGCTATTAATTTGACAACCTGCGGTATTCCCAGATCATATCAAGTTTCTACACTCAACAAAATATACAGCTGCACTTCTCAGTTGAAATAATTGCAAAATTGAGCTAATTGTCTTTACTCTCTGATAAATAATTCTCAAGATCGATTACCAGTATCTCGCCTTCCTTTACACTTGAGCACCCACAACACCCGCTCTCTCTACAATTAACTGTATATGAACAGGGGTAATTACCTCATTAAGTGATTATCATTATAATCACTTTCTCCACAAGTAGCACAAACTGGGAGACCTGGATGAGTGGCGTTGTAAGGGTAACACCTGGGTCTGTTACCATGATAACATAAATGGTAACTTGTGGTTACTGAGGTAAAATTTGGGTTGTCAAGGTAACGTTGTGTTGTAATGTGGACATCAGGAATTATGTAAATATATGTTGATCATGTGATAGGAATTTTAAGCATCTGAACGTGTAGTAAAATTGTTATTGTTATTGAGGTATTGAATGTGATGTGAATTAATGAGTATATTATCATGATTATGGGATGATTAACTATTTGGGTTACGGGACATGTTATCATATGTTGTAAAATGTAAAATATGTAAACAATCTTGATTCTTGATTAGAAATGTCCGCAATTTAAAATAGAAACTTAACTTTAACTAGCTCTTCCTGGATAGATTTGAGGACTTGTTGGTGTTTTTGCTAACCTTTTTCTCGCACTAATTCAACAATTAAAACTCAAACCTTAGGTGACTTATTCAAATAAAGATATTTCTTTTTACCATATTTTATGCACAGATCTATAAGGTTCATAAGATCTTGATAAGATTTCAATAAGTCTTCAATCTTCCAATCACGGATCACCTAGAGATATGCAGTTCAGTACAGTACATGTTCAATACATATACAGTACATGTTCAGTACAGTACATGTACAGTGCAGGATCACTGTACAACAATTAAAGAACGTGTCTGATTCACGAGTAGAAGCCTAGTGGCTGATAATCGCTACTTAAAACTAGACATCCGAACACGTGTCACGTGTCACGTGGTCACGTGATACAGGATCAATCACGTGACCACCCTTTTGTGTAGTACGTACAAGGCGGCTCTCTTTAGTTTTCTACAGCTGAGTTGCTAAGTAACTGGTATAGAGAATGGAGGTCGTGTTGGTACGGTTTCTGTGATCAGTAGCCGACATGTTAATGGTTAACTGGTTTAGACCCAGTCACTATAGCTATAGACTGTTAGGAGGCTAAGTAGTTCCTGTAAAGTTGGTTGGACTCGACATTTTAACGTTATAATTGACTGAAACCACTAGGAATAAATAAGTAAATAAGTAGTAAATAAGTGGTGAATAACGTTATATGGGTATCGTACCAAGTTTATCTTTTCTCTTTTGATCAAATATTTTAGACATCGGCTGCCATACAACACGACTTTAGTGGATTTATAAAGATGTCAAATATTTAAATGTTATAAAATATAAGTTAGGTAGAACCAGCCAGATCTATTTCAGTACCCTGCCGTACTGTAAACAACACAATATAAAACTAACTTTGGCTAGACGAGTGTGTCCCTAAAAAGGGAGTTTTGTTAATAACTATAAATAGAAGAGTGTACGGCTTCTTATTCTATCAGTGTGGTGGGTTCTGGATAGAATAATAGTTTTTAAATGGTTATTCAAAATGTTATATTGATAAAATGAAATCAAGGATTTTGTGTGTGTGACTGGATATTTGATAAGGAATCCCTTGCTTTATGATGAGCTGTTAAACTAAATGTTAAACTAGGGTGTGGGGTGTGGCACCATGCCCCACATGCCATCTGTAAACTACATGCCGCATGAACAGTGCCTACTTTAGCTGCAACTTGCATAACTTGAACACTTACAAATCCTGGTACATGTGCTGGGACGTGCTACTAGTTAGGATATTACGAGAGAGGGAGAAGCATGCTGAGAGACTGAGAAGCATGCAGTAAAGGAATGGTATATAAGTTGATCGCTGTTATGTTTAATGCAGATAATTTATGAATGCTTTGTTTATTTGTTGATTACAACAAATAAACTTGATAATAGAAAACTTAAATAATCAAACTAAATAACCTACCAATTAGTAACCAACCAATTAGTAACCAATCAATTAGTAACCAATCAATTAGTAACCAACCAATTAATAACCAACCAATTAGTAACCAACCAATTAGTAACCAACCAATTAGTAACCAACCAATTAGTAACCAACCAATTAGTAACCAGACTCAGTAACTAACTTATAACCAATCCCTCCTCCCTCCGCAGAACTGGAAGTATCAGGGCTCGTACTGAAACAAGGTGAGACTGGTCAGATCACGTGTTCTATTAAAGACTTTGAGACCCGTCCTCAGAAAGTCACGTGGAAGAAAGATGGGAATGCTCTCAACAGTATCGTGTAAGTTAAATGTTCATTAAATCTCTCAGTTAATTACAAGTTTCCTTAATTTAGAGGTGGAATCAGGAAGATTGATGGTTTCGAAATTTCGACGTTAGCAATTATTAATTTTAAATGCCACTTACAATTTTTTGGAAAGTTTTAGATATCATTTTTTCAACGGCCAGGTAGCGCAGTTGGTTAGAACGCCTGTCTTACAATCGTTAGGTTGCGAGTTCGAAACCCACTGACTGCCTGGTCGTGGGGTGAGCGTCGTCGACGTTCAGCTAAGGATCATGAGTGGTCTATGCAGCCCCCCGGTCTACTCAGCCGAATACTCGAGAAATCGGGTGTGAGGGTTAAATGAGGAGCTGCACATTGCAGCAAAGTCTCGGACGAAGAAAGTATGGTACACACTACCTTAACCGTCACTGGCCAAAAAGATCCTTCGGCTTCCTGTAATTGGCTGGTTGCACTTGTGTAACATTGTGGCTGTTGGAATACACCGAAGTAAAATAAGTGTCTAGATAAAAAAAAAATTTATTGACGATTAATGCTAGTTAGGTTTGGACTTACTTTTTTATTTACAACCATTTAATACTTCCTTATTATTATCTTAATATTCTTAATATTATTATATTCTTAATATTATTATATTCTTAATATTATTATATTCTTAATATTATTATATTCTTAATATTATTATATTCTTAATATTATTATATCCTCAGTATCGGAACCAACAACAAGGAATCTAGCTGGACACACAGTATAACTAACGCAGGAGTGGACCAGGCGGGGGAGTACTCGTGCTCGCTAAACGTGGGGAATGATGTTCTGGAACTTAGCAACCATGTCACTGTTGGGGGTAAAAATAGTTTTAATAAACTTGCTGAATAACTTAGTTTTAATAAACTTACTGAATAACTTAGTTTTAATAAACTTACTGAATAACTTAGTTTTAATAAACTTACTGAATAACTTAGTTTTAATAAACTTACTGAATAACTTAGTTTTAATAAACTTACTGAATAACTTAATAAGTAACTAAATAACTTGTTAAGCTTAGCAACCATGTCACTGTTGGGGGTAAGAATAGTTCCAGTAAAGATTTCGCTTTTGCATTTTGGGATAATGATTACGTTATATTACTGAGCACAAGACTAACATCTGATTTGTTTCATCTTGTACAGCAAGTTAAATGCTCCTCATATCGTCGATTATGTTATATGGGGAGGGAATTCATATTTAGTTTTACCACTATCACGATGCTGTATGAAACAAAATTCGATTTATTTACATAACTTAATCTTGTTACCATTTGGGGCAGACACGGGTTTCTCACTGTTCTATAAAATTCATTTTTGTGAACGCTGAAAACGATTAATACGCATAATTGAGACTGCAAGGTGTTCCGTTACAAGATTGGCCAGGGGCCAGAGTTGATTTATTTTATTTGCTTACTCGTATGAATCTTTCGTTTGCCCGGGGAATTATCGAAAATATGTTCTTAATCTTCGTTATATTCCGAATTTGCTCCCCTGTCCATACTGCGGGGGATATTACTGATCTGACATCTGAGGAAATTCTGGATTCAGGTACAATGTTCGGTATGCACTTCACACTTGGATTAGGACAGGATACCATGCATCATGACCAATTGTGCTGAATTACTTTCCTTGCTCTGAAAACATAATTCTCGGTGATAACGGTCTCTTAAACAAGATGATAATCCTCTCAATCTGAAGGATAATTGCAATGTCCTGGAAGATGAATGGCACCACCTCAGCTGGACCTGGACCACCTGGACCACTTGGACCACCTGTACCACTTGGACCACCTGTACCACATGAACCTACAATTACATGAACGGAGTCTAGTTCTCTTGAAAAGACCCTTAGAAGCTTAGACAGACATCTCAACACTACCAAATATTCATTTCTAATCTCTAAGATTGAAGGCAATTAGAAAGGTGTCAATGATAAAGCGTATTTATGGAAAATAATGAGAGAAAACAAGGACAGCAACTTGGGTACTGAGCTACATGTACAAACATCACCTGAGGTATCAGTGTCATCATGGGCAACAGCAAGACAAGCCTCAGCCATACATTTAGCTGCGACCGTATTTTAACTAACTAACTAACTAACTAACTAACTAACTAACTAACTAACTAACTAACTAACTAACTAACTAACTAACTAACTAACTAACTAACTAACTAACTAACTAACTAACTAACTAACTAACTAACTAACTATCTAACTAACTAACTAACTAACTAACTAACTAACTAAGTAACTAACTAACTAACTAACTAAGTAACTAACTAACTAACTAACTAACTAACTAACTAACTAACTAACTAACTAACTAACTAACTAACTAACTATCTAAACGTTTCAGCACCAGTGATAAGCTCTACGCCGTTTGTTGAACAAGGAGGTGACTTAGTCCTAACCTGTAAACTAACAGTGTACAACCTACAAGCTAAACCTAAAGCTTACTGGACCGCAAACGGCAATACAATCACCGGTAAGCACGTATATATTATAACTAACCGAACATTTACCATTTAGTTATGAACTGATAACTAACTGAATTTAGAATTCAACTCTACAATTTCCATCGTATTTTATTATATGGTTGAACAGCTTCACCAATCACCAATCCCTTAGCATAATTTCTTACTTACAATCTATTAACCTGTGACGTGTTGTGTTAATGTATACATATTTTAATATATATATAATATGGACACGTTCATTTGAGTTTGAGGATATTGGTAAATATAAGTGACCCTATTAAAAGACACAGTGTAGTTGACTTTGTCACACTATGAAATTACTTAAACCCTTGATGGTTAGGATAATCGTCTCATCCTTCAGGCTAACTTTGTCACATAACGATATCTTAATCAGGTGATAAGATATCGCTTAAATACGGCCGGCACGGAAATGGTTACATTGTCACACTATAAACATGTGACGGAGTAAATATGGACCCCTTGCTGCCGTTTTTGACCAAATTTTTGAGTGTCCAGTTGATTGGATGGGTACATATGACCATTACCTACATATTTGACGACTTTTTTCGTTAGATGGTGCATTCAGGTTTACTCTGTCACACATTAAAGAAAATATGTGATGAATGTTTAGGGCACCCTGATAAGCAATGCTGAGTAGTGTAAGTTTATTTGATGGCCTGGAAGTGCTGGGAATTGTTATTATATCATATAGTCGTAAGGGATTAAAACACAGAAGGCACAACCAAGCTTACTTTGTCACATAATCTTGATGATATCTGAACATGTGTGAAATTGAACAAATAATGATATACCAGCTTAAACCCCTTATATTATACGTACTATGGATCAAACAACACTGCTAGTACCATGCACCAGTCACATAGATCATTATCAGGTGGTAATATGTTAACAGTGTCACAATTAAACTACCGCAACATGGTCAAAAATAGGGTAATTTCGTCACAAACAAGAATTTCGCCGCGGTGAAACCACGCACGATCAATTTTCCCTACGATGTACTTGTACCATTAATTCTTTTGAGTGAAAAGTGTGACTGGAAAAAAGTGCATCATATTTACATACTATGTTTTTTATAAATGAGTGTGATTCGTGCATGGTATAAATTGACGATTTATTTGACCAATGCAGCGCCGCGCATCAACAATAAATAAATCCAGAAAATTGCGGAAAATAACTTTGCGAAGGAGGAATTTCACTGTAATTAATTAACACATGGCTAGCGTCGCGCGCAGCATAACAGACGCTTCCTATACACTTAATTATAGGGGAGTGGTCTATATTTCGAAGGAGCAGACTTTTGTCATCATCGCAGGTCCATCGGGCCACCTCATATATCCAAACCCGATTACTTATTCCCTACGATCTTTTTGCCTTCGGCAAGAGTAGGGAAAAAAATTATTATAACTCTGTTAGCTCCTTGCTGGCAAAATAACTAGTTAATCGAAATTTTTTTGATGATAAAGTTACATAGTATTCTAATAGAGGTATGGTTCTTCAAAATAGGGGCAAGACATGTTTACTTTGTCACATCAGTTATTATAAGAGTTAGGTAATCGTCATCAGATTAAAAGATATTTTTCGTAGTTTGGATCGATTAATACTTTAATATACCTGTAATAAATCCTATGCCAATTTTAACACACATCTTGATACTGTTGGGGCAGGGAAAGTTAATTTTGTCACATTTTGAATGTCTTTGACAAATAAATCTAAATTTTTAAAATTGAGTTCTTATGTTCAGGACAATATTCTTCCAATCGTTTCTGAAAGAATGTTGAATTCTAATAGAGTTATAGATCTTCAAAATAGGGGCAAGACATGTTTACTTTGTCACATCAGTTATTATAAGAGTTAGGTAATCGTCATCACATTAACATATATTTTTTTGTAGTTTGGATTGATTTATATAGGTAATAAAGCAGCCTATGCTAATTTTTACACACTATCTTGAAATTTTTGGGGCATGAAAAGTTAATTTTGTCACATTTTTAGTGACTTTGACAAATTTAACCTAAAATTGTTAAACTTAAGCTCTGATGTTCTGGACAATATTCTAATAGAGGTATAGAATAAAGATCTTCAAAATAGGGGCAAGACATGTTTACTTTGTCACATCAGTTATTATAAGAGTTATTATAAGAGTTATTATAAGAGTTATTATAAGAGTTATTATAAGAGTTATTATAAGAGTTATTATAAGAGTTATTATAAGAGTTATTATAAGAGTTATTATAAGAGTTATTATAAGAGTTATTATAAGAGTTATTATAAGAGTTATTATAAGAGTTATTATAAGAGTTATTATAAGAGTTATTATAAGAGACTATTTCATTCTATAATGATTGTTTTTAATCTATTTACGATTTCGCATAATTTTTTGTGACAATGTTAACATCAACTGATCTTAACTTGCATCAACTACATTGTCATCATATAAAACTTTCCCGCCTTTCAAACCAAAATCAGATATAAATAATTCGCCCAAAATTTTAAATTCCATATATTGTGACAGAATTAACCTCATTTCCCAATAACCGAGTGCCTGTATTAGCTAACTATTCAAAACAACATATTTTAGGGCTATGATTGGTAGAGCAACCATCAAATAATGAGTTGAAAGGGTTTTTAGGACACCTCACAGTAGAATAGAGGTATGGTATCATGAGTGTGACAACTGACAAAGTTACCAAAATATTGCCTTGTAACCGTTCGATCCGTGCCCATTAACCAATGTTGTATCATAATTGTTAGATTGACCTAATTTACTATATTTCAGACCAAGGAATGATAATTAGACAACTGCAGTTAACTAAGTCACACAAAATGTGACATTTGAAACATTATAGTACCTAACAACAATAGATTTTCTTTCCGAGCGGTGCATATGGGAGTATGGGTTACGTGGCTAATGTTCAGAACTTCTGAACGTGCTAGATTAATAGATGTCAAAATTAAGCCACTATCGTCAAAAACGCTATTATTTTTGTTTACCAATATCCTCAAACTCAAATGAACGTGTCCATATATACATTAAAATAGTGACAGTTCACTGTCTCCCTATTTAATCCCCTTCATGAATCCCAAAATAACCCCATAATTTGCTCTTATATGGTGGTTAACACAACTTCACCTGGTTAATGTTAACAGAACCCGCCAGCAATCAATGTCCAGTGATCAGCTATTTGATAAAGGTTAAATGACATGCCTGTCAAGTCTGATATTTAGTGTCTCGTCTATCTCACCCAGCAACTTGCATTATTATCAGCCTTATCACTTAGATCAATGACCCACCGCCTTTCTCCCTAGTATTATAGTATAGTGTCAAGTGCACTCGTGTCGTCACTATCATGAATACTGAAGTACTGAATAGGTCCCAATCCCCTGACCCCCATACATCGTCTTTTTTGTAAAGCTTCTTTTGTGATGATGTGTCTTTTCCAATAACTACGCTGTAGTTATTGACTACTAACATAGTACTGCTGAGAAAGTTACTCCACTTTCGAGGATTATAAAGTATTAATATCCATACTTGTCTGGTACATTGACACACAGGGCATACTCTGATTATTATACAGATCGGCCCTTTTGGTCAGGGACGATCATCGTCCCGGATCATCGTCCCGGATCATCGATCATGATAAAACCCAAGTAACTTTATGTTACTTTATGTAATGATAATATTACTTTACTACATGGGGCACACTCAATACTCTGTTTTGTTTCTTGTGTGTGTGTCTGGACCCCCTTACTTTATTCAAGTTAGCTGGATATTATCCAGATAATATTACTTTACTTAACACGCATAACACCTCCCAGAGCCTCTGGATACGGAAGTAACAGATAATACAGTAACAAGTACAGTAACACTGAGTAAAGTTAACAAAGATAACGAGGTAGCGCATGTCTGCGTGTTTGTGTTCACTGACCCCCAATCTGCTGATATCTCTTCAGACCCTCTTACTCCTGATGTTCTAGGTTTGTTTTTGAGAAAAGTTTATTAAACTTTTAGAATTTTAGTTTTCTTGCGCATTGGTCTTTTAAAACGCGATTTTCGATTGTTTTGATTCCAGTTTTCTCAACAATATAAAAAGCTTTGGAATCTATCCAAAAAACCCGACCCAGTTCCGTTTAATTCCACGGTGGAATGCCACTGAAACATTCACGGAGCTGTGTCGGGCTTCTTGGATAGTGTCCAACATTTCAAGGCTTTATTTTCAAGATGCTGTCAGATTCAGTCTACCAATTAATAAACTGTTATCATTAATAAACCTCATCTGTACTAATTACACTACACATCTAAGTAACACTATGTAACACCAGAGTAAATGACCTTTGATCTCGATCCTGGACTTACGTGCCAGGTTAAAAACCAAAACCAAAACCAAAACTAAGCCACACTCTCTGTACTCGTTACTAAGCCACACTCTCTGTACTCGTTACTAAGCCACACTCTCTGTACTCGTTACTAAGCCACACTCTCTGTACTCGTTACTAAGCCACACTCTCTGTCCTGGACTTACGTGCCAGGTTAAAAACCAAAACCAAAACCAAAACTAAGCCACACTCTCTGTACTCGTTACTAAGCCACACTCTCTGTACTCGTTACTAAGCAACACTCTCTGTACTCGTTACTAAGCCACACTCTCTGTACTCGTTACTAAGCAACACTGACAGTACTCGTTACTAAGCCACACTCTCTGTACTCGTTACTAAGCCACACTCTCTATACTCGTTACTAAGCCACACTCTCTGTACTCGTTACTAAGCCACACTCTCTGTACTCGTTACTAAGCAACACTCTCTGTACTCGTTACTAAGCCACACTCTCTGTACTCGTTACTAAGCAACACTGACAGTACTCGTTACTAAGCCACACTCTCTGTACTCGTTACTAAGCCACACTCTCTGTACTCGTTACTAAGCCACACTCTCTGTACTCGTTACTAAGCCACACTCTCTGTACTCGTTACTAAGCCACACTCTCTGTACTCGTTACTAAGCAACACTGACAGTACTCGTTACTAAGCCACACTCTCTGTACTCGTTACTAAGCCACACTCTCTGTACTCGTTACTAAGCCACACTCTCTGTACTCGTTACTAAGCCACACTCTCTGTACTCGTTACTAAGCCACACTCTCTGTACTCGTTACTAAGCAACACTCACTGTACTCGTTGCTAAGCCACACTCTCTGTACTCGTTACTAAGCAACACTGACAGTACTCGTTACTAAGCAACACTGACAGTACTCGTTACTAAGCCACACTCTCTGTACTCGTTACTAAGCAGGGGGGGGGGGTCCAAGGGGAACTTTGGGGAACTTTGGGAAAGTCCCCCAAGATTTCTGAAGTTCCCCAAAAAAAAGATCCCCAAAACTCCCCAAAGTTCCCCGAAATTCCCCAAAATTATTCAAAATTATTTAAAATTATTCAAAATTATTCAAAATTATTCAAAATTTCTCTAATATACATTAATACCCATTAATGTTAACATGTATGTTATTATAAGGTATAATCTTAACTTACTTGTTGATACTTGCAGCATGATAATTTGTTTGGCATTATAATTTTTTTGGGGAACTTTGGGGAACTTTGGGGAATTTTGGGGAACTTTCTGAAGTTCCCCAAAAAAAAGTTCCCCAAAATTCCCCAAAATTATTTGTTTCATTGATAATTTTTTGGGGAACTTTGGGAAAGTCCCCCAGGTTTCCTGAAGTTCCCCAAAAAAAAGTTCCCCAAAACTCCCCAAAGTTCCCCTTGGACCCCCCCCTAAGCAACACTCACTGTACTCGTTACTAAGCCACACTCTCTATACTCGTTACTAAGCAACACTGACAGTACCACCACCACCGCAGTGTTTGGAGTAGAGCCAGTGTCCCAATACGGCTCAGTAGGCAGTGTAGCTACCTTTACCTGCACAGGGGAGGCGGGTAACAGTGATGCTGGCAACCCTACTGTTAACTGGTACAGCACCGAGGGAGTCCAGGTTAGTGTTAATTAAACTTAATTAGTTAATTAGTTGTTAATTGGTAATGAGTGATCAATCGGTGAGTTTGAAATCGTTGAAATTAATTATATTTTGCTTTAGTATGTCTAAACAAAGACTAATACCTGATACTAAACTACTACTACTAATATTTACTGCACTGCTGATAGCATGTGGTTAGAAGGGTTTTGGCACTATCTAAGAAGCCCGATACAGCTTCAATAGTGAAATTTCACCTTTAAACTTAGTGTTGGGCTTCTCAGATAGTGCCAAGCTTTCGGGTTCTGAAGTACGACTTAAAGAATTAATTTAAAATAAAAACATGTTTATAATATATTAATAATGAACTTAATCACGTAATTAATTACTAATTTGCACAGATCGGAGAAGTGGGAAGCACGATCTACAAGTTAGAAATACCACTAACTGGTACAGTAGTGGAGTGTAGGGTGACCTGGGCTAATACTAACGTTATACTCAAGACAACGGTCGCTGCTATTGTCAGTAGTAAGTTCTTACTTCCTTTTTTAAAGAAAGAAAGGAAAGAAGGCGTTACTTCTTCTCTTTCAGTCATGTGTGGGTCTAGTCGAACATTTATCTGATACTACTGTTCTTGCCTGTCTCCTTGACTGTTGACAATATCTGAATAAAGTACGGAAATAGATTCCATTCGATTTCAAATTTCATAACATTTCAGAGTTCAGACATATAATAAGCTTCTAGCACGGTAGTGATTTGTTCATGTTGAAAACTAATTCACTGATTCAGCTATCTAAGATAAAACTTTGAATCACTGCTTACTTATTATGCTTTATGTTCTAATAACAAGGTGATTTAACAGCTGATTAGGTGATTTAGAAGGTGATTAGGTGCCATGTTTTGACTTGCAGGTGACGAGTTAGCTTCTACTCTCCACAATTAGTCACCAACCACTGGATAAATTTACAGAACCCCAGAACCAACGTCAACCTGTTATAGGGTTTAACGACAACTAGTTATGTTAATGCCTATAAATAAACGTGTAAATAAGAGTAAGGACTAAAGAATTAATGTTGTCCGTAGTACACGTGTAACAGTACAGTGACACGTGTCAGTACACGTGTTACGCTATGTGGCACGTGTTACTACACGTGTCACTTTATACCCTGTACTATGCACATATGTTACATGATGATTGAAGCTTGTAAAATATACTCACCTCATTTATTCACATTATAAGACACTATCTGTTCAAATATTCACATGGTTAGGGCCTGGGTTACTCATCTACTCTACGTGGTACAATGTGAATACAGTGTTTAGGACAATGACGTTATCTTCGAGTAGTATGGCCAGAGGGATGCAGGCCCAATGTAGATAAAATACTGGGTGTAGATAAGTGATGCAATAGAAATTAGAGAGAGACGCACAACGCAGGCCTTATGTAGATTACACGTCTTGATGTAGAATGAAGATTGTAGATTAGCCTAATCTGCATCAGGTATGTAATCTACACTACGATTAGGGATAATAGGCAGCTGTATAATACATACTAAAATAGAGATAGGGTAGCTTGCCCACTTTATTTATTATCAAAAAAAGATAAAACTAGGATTGTAAATATCTATTTTTTGTTTTTAACTTTCTGCTCCGATGAGGAGAGAAAGTATTTTGAAGAGAGCCGCTCAGACATGGGCACCGTATTGTGTAAATTATTTAGTTATATTTTATACAATATCTTGCATAGTAGCGGGGTAGTAAACACTGTGTTTCGTTTCTTTTCGTATCTAACTATTAACTGATTCAGATGTGGAAGCACTGCCCACACAGTACACTACAGAAGGGAATAGCTCAGTAGATCTGACGTGTCTTTACAAAGCTACTTCTGAGAACTATGGTATGTAACCATGGTAACCATGGTAACCATGGTAACTATGGTAACTTACTTCATCGCTCTCTAAAACTTATGTCTTTCTTTTTTAACTATGTTATTGTGATGTCTATATAATATATCCCGGTTATAATTCATGCTTCACCTGAAACTACCTGCAAATCTCCCCCAATATTGCCTGATGTTTGGTAACTAAGTAACGTACCGTAAGATTACATATCCCCTCTAAATTCCTCTCTCTCACCCTCTTATTCCTCCAGGAGCAGCTCCCTCGGAAGTAGGGTGGTTCAGGATAGAGTCTGACAACTCTCCTACTGACCTCAGCACAATAGCTGGCTACTCTGTCGACAAAGGTAACATTATAAAGGAGCAGTGTTAGATCATGTTGTAGTCTCAATAACTTCCGTTAATTGTCATTCCTTTAAACGTGCAAGGAGATCAGTACATGTCCGAGAGATCTGTAGAAAGTTGTCCAGCATGTCGCCAGCTTAGTTAGCTTATGGATCGTACTAATAACCTAAACTTGCTGCTATCGAGATATCAAAATCCTATCAGATATCAAGATATATTAAGATATTATCAGTCAGATATTATCAGTAAATAATATCAGCAGTGCATGACCCTGTTATCAGTGTTGAGACTGCACAAAACTTGTATCTAAACCCGCTGTCACCAGTATCTTGTAAAGGTTAAGTCATACCCTGGATATAGCACACCAGGAATTAGATACCGTCCTCAAACGATGAGCTGACGGGTTGTTGTACAGTTTGTGGGTGTTTTCTACAAAACACACCCAATCTCATGGCCATTATTCAGCGGTTTTACTGTTGACAGTCAGTCGGTAATAATATGCAATAACCACGTCATAAACTACCGTAATTTATATCGTCAATTCGACGTAGTATTGTTGAGGATGTGGAGTGTACACTTAGTGTCTAATCAGAATATCAACACTTATTTACAGTAAAACGTTTCAGGAATCTATAGTGCCGGAGCGCAGACCAGTACCTTGACCATCAGTAATGTTAAGATTGCTAACAACGATGATAAGACTTTCCAGTGTAATTTCACTGTTGCTGGCCAGACTGTTTCTGGGAAGATTAAACTTAGAGTTCTTGGTAAGTTTTAACTAATTAACTAATTAACTAATTAACCAACCGTCAGTGTTTTTGTGATTATTAACTTGTAGGAGTGCTTAAGTAATTGATATAAAACAGTTCATAAGTGCAATAGTTATAGTTCAGAAACTAAGTCGTATCTAACAAAATATTAATAATCATCTGTAAACTGATCAACTAATTAACCAACCAACCAACTAATTAACAAACAAATTAACCAGGAATCTACCTGAACGTAGCAACTGAAAGCATCACAAAGATGTCGGGAGAGTATCTCAGTCTAACAGCAGCCACTACACGTACCTACGACGTGAGCCCTACTTGGAGGTGGTTTAGAGATAAGGAGCAGGGAACAACTTTGTTCGCGGGGGACGGTCTGATATTCCCTTCTATCAGGGTATGTATGTTAGGGGTATGTTAGGTATGTTAGGGGTATGTTAGGTATGTTGTTGTTAAATAGAGGTACTGATTTTGTGCCTGAGATTGATGAGAAATGATACCCTCTTCCCGCTTATTATGTGTTGGTTTGGGGCACCCACTTTACCTCCTACCAGAGGGTAGACACACAAATATTTTAGCTATTTGGGTCCCTTTGGTGCAGAGCAAAGGAATTACTATTTATGTGCACTTCAATTTATGCGATCTCAGGGGTTAATTTAAACTTACGACACTATTTTAGTACCATTGCTAGGGGCCAAGGTGGTGATATACTATCATTTTTACACGTGATAACACATTGTATTGCCTGTATATAATGTAGAACTTGTCATATTTAACCGTGTAGTGAGTGGTACTATAGTGGGAACTCAGTATAAGTGATGAAATGAGGGAGAAGCCGGGAAGTGCTATGGTAGAAATGTTGGAATTCTAAGAGTTATTAGTGTTATTAGTGTTATTAGTGTTAGTGCTATTATCTCTGAGTGGTGATTACCAACTCACGTATTCACCACCTCTTCAACAGGTAACTGATGCTGGAAAGTACGTAATTAACGCTCATTTTGAGGTGCCTGTCGGAGATGAGATGAGATCTTTAGATGTTACCGCTACTACTACTGTCATTGTCAACCGTGAGTTAACATTTGTTCACTTAAAACATCTATTTTTGTTACTTCATAGATTCGGCTATCTGATATCTCTGGAATGGACTCGAACATCTTGACACGTGACAACAGTTCATGTTTTGAGATTATAGCTTCCACTGCTTGGTGCACAAATTTTCGACTATTGAACTTTAGTAAGTTATTTGTATTTACAAAGTAAAACATCGGCTTATATTTGACAGCCCAGCTGATTTGTAATGTTTTGTTAAGTTAAGAGGAAATAGAAGACTGCTACCGTTTGATTGTAAGTAGTGACTCATGACCCTAACTTTTTCTTGTCTCTAGTCAATCCTATACAAATTGACACCGAGTCCTAACTCTAAGTAAAATATCTTTCCTGTTGCACTAGTTCTGAGTATCAAGGGAAATACATTTTACACCAAGCTTTCAACTCGTTGCTACGATCTCTTTCCAATGTTCTGTACATACCAAACATGCTCATTGAAATATCACTCACTCTATTTCCTTATCGGTAATGCACTGAGACACTGTGCGTACCACGAAGGAAACAATAAGTATTGCAAGTGTTACAATTAGATGGGTCTACTTAAACTGTAGCTGAGCGGACGCGCTTATTTTAATATTGAAATATCAGCGCGTCACGTACAGTATAATAGCGCGCGGCGTGGACTACTTTCACTTCGGGTGTTATTCTTGGAAATCGATTACCATTGCCAGCTTACTGCAATATTCTCTTATCAGGCACTTCACATTTCTGGGATTTCCTTGATTTGTGATGTCATTAAAGCAATATATTATTTCGACTTTCGCATGAAAGTGTCTTTAACCTTGCCTTGTCCCATGTCTCTTATATTTCCATATTAGGATTGTCTCATTGTATCACATACCCAATGATTTGTGCTCCAGAGACGAAACACTTTCGTTAGATAATTTTGCAATTCGTGCATTGCAGTATTCCAAATTTTAATCATGAATATAATCCGTAAGTTATTAAACTACCACTTTGCAGCGGGTTGTAAGACTGGATCATTAAAGAACGTGAAGAACAGTGGAGATATTCCTCAGTACGTCCTTAACGGCTGGAGTGCTACCATTCACTGCTCGGTAAGTAATTATTTCATAGTTGAGGGTCAACAAGGTCTTCTGATTCAGCTCATTATCTGGTGCTTGTTTTCTTTCCGATTTTCTATTCTATATTTCCATCACTAAGGTATTTTGACCTTAAAACTTTTTGTAGGATAACTACATGCTGGATAACTACAAGTACGAGACGTCCCAAATTCTCTCCTGTACTTCATCTGATTTCGTGGAGTTAACTATGATCAGCTGCATTGGTAAACAAACAAACACACGAAACCAACAAACTAATCCATTTTTACACGCGACTAACAAATTTCCTAACAATTAAAGATGACTATTAGGAGACAAGGATTATACAATTACTGTGTATTTCAGCTGGATGTTGGTACGTGGTGCAAGATCACGAGACAGTTGTTAGTTTTGGGAACAGTGTGAGAACACCAGGAGGTCCCTACCCTCTCTATCCTAGTGATAGTTTCATAACATCATGTGATACTGATAACAACAAGACGTTTCCGTCCGGGACTAACCCTAACTACACTTGCCCTGATGGAGGAGGTGTAATGTCCTACACGCTGTGTACAGACGGGTGTAGATATGTGGAGGATAATAAGATTAATTTAACGTTTCCTGATAAGATGGTTCACAAAGACCTTCTTCCTCGAGGAGAAAAGGTGACAAATAGCGCCGCGCTGGGTGTCATTTTATTGTCGGGTATTCACGATTTAACACGTGATCAACCAATCGTAAAACTCAAACTAGTGAACCAGAAATCCTGTCAAGATATTCGTTATCAGCTCAACTCGTTTAACATTTATTGATATGCTGAAATTACTGCTATCACGTGCTAACGATTTCTCCCCTCTTCAGTTGAAGTACGAGTGTCTTGAGGGTGAAGATAACGTGTATAACGCTGACCATACCTTCACTTGTGTGGTGGATGCTAACAACAACTCTATCTCTATCAACCTTCAGATCTGCACTGGTTAGTTGTCATCCTCGACTTTATGTTGTTGCTTTCGAGCCGCGTTTCTCTTATCTGTATCGGTTCCCTTTTCCCCGACTATTTATCTGGTTGTCACCTAGTTTGGAAAGATTTGATATGAAAGCAGGTATATCGTAAGTCTACAATCAGGCCCCTCCCCCCTGTTATTATAACCCCAACCCTAGTCTAGAAGGTAGTTTCACCGAGTCTAGTGGGTAGTAGTTTCTAATATCACCCTAACTGTGAAACTTCTCACGGCTATGTTAGGAAGCTCGTTACTCTGGTAATAGGACGTTAATTGACCGCTGTGCGACTGGTAATGAGCCGTTATGAGTAGCCTTGGTCTTGTATCCGTGGTTTTAACGCCCCCTACGGGGTCCTATAGGTAATAGTGTGACATCAACACGGACTTAACTAATTCCTTAATTTAAAGGTGTCGCGCTCTAATGAGATCAGCTTATCACTACTATAAGCTAGCTCTTTGTTAACCAGGATTTGGTGATGTAACCTGGTGTCTCTCTCAAATACAACCTCACCACTCGTTCTTTACTCGCTCGTTCTTAACCTGGTAACCTAGTAACCTGGTATCCTCTCTCAAATACACCCTCGCCGCTTGTTCTTTACTCGCTCGTTCTTAACCTGGTAACCTAGTAAATTGGTATCCTCTCTCAAATACAACCTCACCGCTCGTTCTTTACTCGCTCGTTCTTAACCTGGTAACCTGGTAACCTGGTAACCTGGTAACCTTGTAACATGGTGTACTCTCTTAAATACACCATCACCGCTCGTTCTTTACTCGCTCTTTCTTAACTTGGTAACCTGGTAACATGGTAACCTGGTAACCTTGTAACATGGTGTACTCTCTTAAATACACCCTCACCGCTCGTTCTCTACTTGCTCGATTTTAAAGTTTTAACTTGCTCAAACGTGTAAACTCTTTTATTGTCAGTCTTGAGTGTTTGCTCAGCTGTTAAGATGTTCTCAAATCAAGAAATCCCAAGAAACTGAAACTCAACACCAGTCTGTTGCATCAAGTTCACTCTTTTCCACACTGATGGTAGTCTTGAATTTCACCAGACGTCACGGATGACGATCAAATATATTACAAACTGTCAATTGGTCCGACCATTAATTCACCCTTTCTTCCGGGTTTGTCTCAACCACCAGGAGACTAGTTTCCAGCCTGTGTGCCCCCTTGTGCATGTCCAGCCCTCTCTCCCTTTCAATTTAATGGTACTCCCTCAGATGACTTTAGAGTTGTACCTCACGTCATTTCTCACGGGTCAACACTGGAACATGCTGGCGCTATCTTTATCCTTCACATTGTAATGAACGTCATAAATCAAAATAAAGCCAGTGCGTGTGGCTGAAGCAATTTATATGTGTCCTAATTTGTCTGTAACGTGGCTTGATCCGTGCTAATGTAGGATAAATCTTGGTGTAATCGGTTGCAATGTCAGTTTAGCGCTGGCATCTTGTCAGGCGAGTATTTAAGATCGTTGGTTTTAATGTGTTCCGTTATTTTAGAATGTAGCGAGAGTCGCTTTGCTGATAAGACTGATGTTTTAGAACGGGTTAGTTGCTTAGTTTTGTTGCTCGTTGTACAAAGTACGTCTCAATTGAGTTGCTTATAATTCCTGTTTTCTATTATTATCATGGTTGTTGTTTTACTTGCTTTGACTATAATCAGATCCCAGACTGCATCTTTCCCCCAAGATCCTTACATTTGATCTCAAGTCCCCTAATATTTCCCCGTCCCCCCAACACTTCCCTTCTAGTCTAACATTTGTTTCCTGCAGTGCCGGTGCCGTGGGACGCTATTATAATCGGACTAGCTGTCTTCCTGTTGATACTGGCTCTGGCGATGATGGTGTTTGGGCTTTATCTCTACATGAAGTAAGTTAATCTTGTGTCCTGCTGTAACCAACTGAAATCTTTGGTGTCAGTGTTTCATTTTGAACTGGTTGTGCCTTGTTTTGTCTTACTCTACTGTAACATAAAGGAAGCTTGGAAATATAATTGGAGCGAATTTGCTTCTTTTGTCTGCTATGACTACTTTTACTACGTTTGAATTTTAAAAGTTTATGACACAAATAACTTAATAACTTAATGATTGACAGACGAAGCAAACGACGGAAGCGACAGATTTACCATACAGAGGACGGGACATTCCTCAGGTAGGAACTGGAGAAGACACGTGACATACCACGTGATACAACACGTGACATACACTATAACATACCACGTGACATACACCACGTGACATACACTATAACATACCACGTGACATACACCACGTGATACACCACATGTGACATACCACATGACATATCATGTAATATAACACTCATATTCTAGATTATAAAATCTACAAAGCACCAAATTAGAAAGTATGGAGGTAACAAATGTTCACAATTTCACTTGGAAAAGAGCAAGATCATTAACAAATGTCTCCAATATCCATTAAAACATTTGAACATCTAGTTATAATATATATTAGTCTGATACTACCTCACTTCCTTGACAGACGGATTACAAATACCAGACATTTTACAGATCTGAACTAATTAATACCTAATCATAGTCAGAACAGTAATTAACTCCGATTACCACTGCACCAGGGTAATTTGCCATCCTATTCATAATCAATCATCATCCAGCTCTAAAATTACAACATTCCTCATTTCTTGTCTGGGACAGTCTCTTGTGCTTCCTGATTTTAACGTGGTTCAACATTCCTTAAATAGTTGAACCAACACGACCCCCCTCGGTGCCCACACGTCTTGACAATAGTTGTATTTGTGTGTGCTGGCTAGTGGCTATATTGTACGATTAACACAGTTTCTTGAGAACACAGTGCAATGCCTGTACAAGCCAGGTTTGTACATATAACTGAGTACACAACATCCTTGTTGTAACCTCTTTTACATTTTGTGTGCTCTCCTCTCTGTTTGTTGATTGTTGTTCCCGCGCTTTTTACACCACTATTCGAGTGCTCCTCACCACTCCTATAGTGCTGCACTCTCCGCACTGCCGAGTGTAGAACACACTCTCGATAAATGGGGTTCTGTCTGTTAATATTCCTGCTGAAGAGTGTGTTTATCAGGAGGCAGAAGAGGAAGATAAAGCTGCTTAACGGGGGAGATGGTATATATAGCAACCCAGCTGCCAAGGAGTCAGACGGGGGGCAGGGTGATATGGAGATGGTGGAGCTGTGTAAACCTATTGAGATATCCCAGTATCATGCCAAGTAAGACAACTTTTCACATTGTGTGCCTTCTTTCGTTATTATTCTCTTCTTTACCTCGATTGCTCGATAAATTGTCCTTAACTAAAACTTGCCCCAACTAAAACTTGGTTTGACTTCATTTTCAACAGCCCTACCTCCTCGTAATACATGTATACTCTAATGTATACTCTAATGTATACTCTAATGTATACTCTAATGTATACTATATTCCTCCAGATACAAGCAGTTGATGGTAGATGACTGTTACGCCCTGTCTCTGGAGTACGCTAAGATAGCTAAAGATGTTCCTATCTCTATGTATCCCATTACTGTCGCCAAGCAGCCCATGTACAAAGCTAAAAACAGGTAACCTCACTTTGTCTTTTACTTTGTCTTTAACCTCGTGTTTTGATATTTTATTTCAAGTTGGAACGCTGAGATGTTTGAATTTGTCAAATTCCCCATTGAAAATGGAGTAAGATGATTAGTCATGTGACCAGTATGACACATAATTAGTCATGTGACCAGTATGACACATGATTAGTCATGTGACCAGTATGACACATGATTATTCATGTGACCAGTATGACACATGATTAGTCATGTGACCAGTATGACTCACATTAACACACCCACAGGTTTATAGACATATTACCGTATGACGGCACCAGGGTGACACTACAGCAGATCGGAGAGGACCCCACCTCTCATTACATCAACGCTAGTTACATTGACGTGAGTTAATTGGTCTTTCTCATCCTCAATTCTCTTTCTCTTTCTCTTTCTCTTTCTCTTTCTCTTTCAAATGTCAATTACACGTCAGTTCCTAATAAAACTTTCTTTTTGTAAGCGAATCATTCTGATATGATATAAAACTTTACCTCTTTCAGACATTGGAGGAACCGCGAAAGTTCATAGCCGCACAAGGACCTAAACCTGAGACACTAGCTGACTTCTGGAGGATGATGTGGGAGCAGAACAGTCATGTCATAATCATGGTAAGTGCAGTAGTCACATGTCATAATCATGGTAAATGTAGTCACTGTAGTCACTGTAGTCACATGTCATAATCATGGTAAGTGCAATAATCACATGTCATGTCATAATCATGGTAAGTGTAGTCACTGTAGTCACATGTCATAATCATGGTTAGTGTAGTCACTGTAGTCACATGTCATAATCATGGTAAGTGTAGTCATTGTAGTCACAGTGTAATGGTGTCAAGACATTACTCCTTACTTAGTGGATCACTTGTTACTCATGGCTGGGCGTGATAATATGATTACTCACTTAAGTTGATTAAAAATTATTACCAATAAGTCTGTCTTTTGTTCCTTTTTTATTTCTAATGAGCACTTATGGTCATCTAATGCGATAATCATAACATCTACTTCGGCAGGCACACACGTGTTCTCTGTCACACACTGTCTTATCTTTGAAATATGTTGAGACCAGTTTTCATCAATCTAATGAAATTTACAATATTTTCAGTTACAAAAAAGTAAAAAGGTATTAATAAAGGTTCATCAACTTGAAATCGTACATCAACGATAAGAAATTCAAAGTTTAACCAGTTTTATTGTTCTAACTATCAAATTCCCAAACCACAATGCAATCTGTAGAATAAGTAATAAGTATGTACATTGTCCCGTTTAATTAAACTTCCAAATTTCGAAAAGAATAAATTTTAAGAGTAAATCAAAGCAAATACCGTTAAGAGAAAAGTGTATCTAACTATTTAAATTTATAATGCTAAAGTATTAAATTGATTAAATATGATATCACCTGCGCGAAAATAAATGTATAAAATGAAATCAATGGTTTCTATCACAGTATTCATGAATCCGATTGTACACACTACACAAATTTATTTTACCAGTCCATATACTCTTAGTCGAGTCAAAGTTCGTTCTATTATAGTTAATATACAGTATATAATTGAGGAGGAGAATCTTCATTACATTCAGGAGGTTGAGGGGTTTGTGTGTCCGTGTTGAATACTCGAGGCAGGTAGGACCCTGGAGGTGGGTAAGAAGGTGGAAGAGGGTGGGTAGCTTGCGAAGGTGGGTAAGAAGGTGGAGGAGGGTGGGTAGCTTGCAGAGGTGGGTAACCTACCTTGGGTACCTTGGGTTCGTTTCGGGCTAGCACGCCCAGGCCAAGACATCTTGCGTCTCCACCACCGGTAAGATGGTGGAGGAGGGTGGGTAGCTTGCAGAGGTGGGTAAAAAGGTGGAGGGGGGTGGGTAGCTTGCGGAGGTGGGTAAGAAGGTGGAGGAGGATGGTTAGCTTGCGAAGGTGGGTGAGAAGGTGGAGGAGGATGGGTAGCTTGTGGAGGTGGGTAAGAAGGTGGAGGAGGGTGGGTAGCTTGTGGAGGGTGGGTAAGAAGGTGGAGGAGGGTGGGTAGCTTGCGGAGGTGGGTAAGAAGGTGGAGGAGGATGGGTAGCTTGCGGAGGTGGGTAAGAAGGTGGAGGAGGGTGGGTAGCTTGCGGAGATGGGTAAGAAGGTGGAGGAGGGTGGGTAGCTTGTGGAGGGTGGGTAAGAAGGTGGAGGAGGGTAGCTTGTGGAGGTGGGTAATATGGTGGAGGAGGGTGGGTAGCTTGCAGAGGGTAGGTAGCTCGCGGAGGTTGGTAAGAAGTTGGAGGAGGGTTGGTAGCTTGCAGAGGGTGGGTAGCTTGCGATGGGTAGGATGCTGGCGGACGGTAACCGGGTTAGAAACTGGTGGTAGTTAAGATTGTGGAGGAGGGTAGGATGCTTGTGGAGGAGGGTAGGATGCTTGTGGAGGAGGGTAGGATGTTGTTGGCGGATAGGATGCTTGCGGGTAAGTTGCTTGCAGCGGCGGGTAGGATGCTTGAGGGCCAGTTGCTTGAGGCGATGGGTTGGTTGCTTGAGGGTAAGTTGTTTGTGGCGGCGGGTAGAATGCTTGAGGGTCAGTTGCTTGAGGCGGTGGGTAGGATGCTTGAGGATAAGTTGCTTGAGGCGGCGGGTAGGATGCTTGAGGGTAAGTTGCTTGTGGCGGCGGGTAAGATGCTTGAGGACCAGTTGCTTGAGGCAGCGGATACGATGCTTGAGGGACAGTTGCTTGAGCAACAACAACACCCTGAGCTGTTTGATCCTTCTTCAGAAACATAATCACGTGAGTCACAGCAGCTCCTATGGTAATGAGCAATGTGAGATAAGTGTATGCCCCAGTTGATGCCCAAGAACAGTGGGTACCCCAGCTTGGATTAGGAGTGGTGCCCGCCACTCCTGAACTAAGGTTGATGACAAATGAGACGCCAAATGTAAATAATGATTGAAGTAACCTGGATTGCTCGGGAGTTTTTACGAAGGTGAAAATTGTAAGGACGACTGACACCAACAAAAGCACTAGCAAGAAAGCAATTCCGCAAAGACCACTATATCCTCCAGCAGCGAAGATACACTTTCCAATAGTAATGTGAACACACACCCCTAGAAGAATTATTACTGGTCGAGGCAGCTTGCTATCCTCTGGGTATTCTTGTGGCTCTTTTAGGATGTGCAGTGTAACGAGAAGAGAAGCCAAAGCCATAACCGGGATCGTGCAATATGTGTAGTAGTTTAGGATAGATTCAGAATCAGAAGATAACAACAACGTCATCTGACGTCTTGTAGTGCAACCAAGAAAAACGTTACTAATATTGAGAATGAAGGACCCAATAGATACGCTCAGGAAGTCCTTGACTTTGTTTTCTTTATTTTTCATGATTGTTAGACTCCCGCTCCTACTGCCAGCCCTATAAGCAGGAACCAGTTGATCCCCGCTAAAACCGCGGGGTATAGATATTCGAAATCTACAAATCTCACTGCAAACAGTATCTTTGTTAAAGCAACTTGAGCGAGAAATCCCGCCAATATCACACTCGGACTGGGGATAAGTGACATTTCTGAATCTGAAAAAGTGGTCTAGGTCACAGGTGTGTAAAATAGCATTGCATTGCGTACCCACAATTATGTTGTGCATTTACAATAGTCAAACGCTCTCACGTGCTGGGAAATCAAACTCCTACTCTTACAAAAGAAACAATTTTTTTAAATAAAGTATTCCCTCCGCTCTGTCTCGATTAAAAAATACAGGTTAATTGAAAAAGAATAATAATGCGAAAACAAACATCTCCTAAATGAAACAACAGATCAATACTGAACGAAGTCGAGTTTAGTGATTTAAAGAGTTCACTGTTCGTCTGCAGGGAGAGGGTAAAACAGTTTTGGGAGCTTCTGATTAAGGAGTAATTATCCGTCTTTAGGTGTAATTATCCTTATTTAAGAGTTATCATCATTATTTGTTCCAATTTGTAAATTTCCGTACGTTGTAATTTTCAGCTCTCCTCTAACTGCAGCTCTCTCTGTAATTAGAGAGAGAGAGAGCGATTTTGGAGAGAGCGATTTTGGAGAGAGCGACTTTGGAGAGAGCGTCTTTTTGATAAGTAATAGATGATCTGAGACCCCGTCCCTTACACCTTGCATGGAAACGATATACCAGCATACAAGCAAGGAAGCATAGCTGACATCAGAATGACCCTACAATACTTCACTTATTTGAACTGAGGAGTAAAACTGTCAGCTCATCTCCCGTACGTGTGGAAGGAAACTATAAAATAGTCACACGCTCTCACGTTCTGGAAATGGTCTGATTGTCGAACAATCAGCGAATTCCCCACTTTCAGCGTAAACACAACCCATAACTCACACTACTCCGAGAACACACGTAAACTTGTCTTATCATATTATACTGTTTAACTCAGTCAGTTTTTATCAATCTTCTGAAATTTAAAATACTTTCATTTACAAACAATAAAAAGGTATTAATTAAGGTTCATCAACTTTAAATCGTACATCAGCGATAAGAAATTTAAAGTTTAACTAATTTTATTGGCCTATCAAATTCCCCAACTACGATGCAATCTGTAGAATAAGTAATAAGTATGTACAATGTTCGCTCAATTAAAATGCCAAATGTCGAAAAGAATAAATGTTAAGAGTAAATCAAAGCAAATACTGTTAAGAGAAAAGTGTATTCAACTATTTAAACTTATAATGCTAAAGTATTAAATTGGTTAAATATGATATCACCTGCGCTAAAATGAATATATAAAATGAAATCAATGGTTTCTATCACAGTATTCATGAATCCGATTGTACACACTACACAAAGTTACATTTTGATTTGCGACGACTTATTTTACCAGTCCACATTTTTACCAGTCCATATACTCTTAGTCGAGTCAAAGTTCGTTCTATTATAGTTAATATACAGTATATAATTGAGGAGGAGAATCTTCATTACATTCAGAAGGGGTTGGTGTGTCCGTTTCGAATACTCGAGGCAGGTAGGACCCTGGAGGTGGGTAGGAAGGTGGAGGAGGGTAGGTAGCTTGCGGAGGTGGGTAGGAAGGTGGAGGAGGGTGGGTAGCTTGCGGAGGTGGGTAAGAAGGTGGAGGGGTGGGTAGCTTGCGGAGGTGGGTAAGAAGGTGGAGGAGGGTGGGTAGCGTGCGGAGGTGGTTCAGAAGGTGGAAGAGGGTGGGTAGCTTGCAGAGGTGGGTAAGAAGGTGGAGGAGGGTGGGTAGCTTGCGGAGGTGGGTAAGAAGGTGGAGGAGGGTGGGTAGCTTGCGGAGGTGGGTAAAATGGTGGAGGAGGATGGGTAGCTTGCGGAGGTGGGTAAGAAGGTGGAGGAGGATGGGTAGCTTGCGGAGGTGGGTAAAATGGTGGAGGAGGATGGGTAGCTTGCGGAGGTGGGTAATAGGTGGAGGAGGATGGGTAGCTGGCGGAGGGTAGGATGCTGGCGGAAGGTAGGCTGGTAAGATACTGGTGGTAGTTAAGATGGTGGAGGAGGGTAGAATACTTGTGGAGGAGGGTAGGATTTTGGTGGCGGGTAGGATGCTTGCGGGTAAGTTGCTTGCGGCGGCGGGTAGGATGTTTGAGGGCCAGTTGCTTGAGGCGGCGGGTATGATGCATAAAGGCCAGTTGCTTGAGGCGGTGG